TATAGAATTTATGGTTTCGCATAAAATTAGATATAAATGTTCGAATTTCTTATAATTTTACCCATACCAATATTGTTATCTGTATTAGATGAAGTATGAAAATGGAATACTTCGGTCGATTATACCTGCTACCTAACGCACATTATAACATTTTCTAAAAATTATCACATATCTCATATAGAGTGAATGAGGTAGTTGATGGCTCGTCCCAATATTTTTATCATATTTTTTTTAAGTCCGATACGAAATGGACAATATTGGTACATTCCCTCGGAACCTACTACATTAAGGGTCAACAATTTTAATAATCATAACAGAAGTCAAAATATATTTAAATAATCGAACATTGGCTGAGGATATACATCTGTTGGCAAAACCGACTGATACTTTTTAACTTGTTTCTTATTTAACTTATATGTATATATTATACAATTATTTTTTTACATTTATGCAATTTCCTTTAAGTTCTGCTTCAGAATATTCCCCGATTGTTTATTGCTACACACAAATTGATTGCAATTTTCAAATTGCTGTCGTCAACAGATTGTTGTTGATTGAAAATATTGTTTCAATCAAATTCAAATTATGATCTCATCAGCATAATTTATTTATATTTGTGTAGGAATATATATTGTAACAATTTGATGACATGGGGATTGATATGGTATAATCAAATAAGCTCCATAAGTCGGATGCCGGAGATGGGGAATTTCATGGAAAGGAAATGGGGAAGGTTATTTACCTCTTCTTCACTCAACTCATCCATGATCTTAAGGAAGAAACTAAATTTAGTAATTTATCAAAAAGTTGAGTTCCCATGAATTTTTAACAACATTTTTAGAATTCCGTATAAGAAAAAAGACTTATTTCAAAGGGCGAACACGTAAATGTCTAAAGTTTTATAAAGTATCAGTGAATGAGTTGTCACCTGGGTTGTCACCAATTTTTCTTTTTCAAGTTTTTGAAACATTTTCAAAAGCATGACCCAAATTGTATTACAATTTGTTGTTGTTGTTGTTGTTTTTTCTTTGACGTGGGAGTGATTTGGACTGATAACATTTTTCAATGATTTCAACATGTGAACGAGTATCGTGAACGTGTTCAACGAACGTGAAGTTATGTTAATGAAATTGTGTTTTCTTGTAAAGTCTGAGACGTATAGATACTATTTTCGAAAATTAAAAAAATACGCTTTCGCTATCAATAAGTTACAATTTCGAATTACACTATTAACTGGGAAAGTAATAAAATCGATTATTATTTCTGATGAGGAATTGTTTTAAAAACATAGGTTAAAGAATTGGAAATTAGCTAGGAGTAACCAGTAAAGTAATTCTTAAAGTCGGGCGGGACGACTTTATGATACTCTACACCACTTTACACGGAGTACCAAAACAAAAAATCGAATGAACTATATATATATGGGAGCTATAGCTATATCTGAACCGATTTCCATCAAATTTGGTATTCTCACTGTGCAAAATTCCATACTATTTGGGCTGGCTATTACACGTTTGGTGTACAATGAAAGACAAATCGGACAAAGATATATATGGGAGCTATATCTAAATTTTGACCGAATATCTCCAATTTCAATAGGGTTTGTCCTTGGGTCAAACAAATTATTCGTGCAAAATTTCATCTGGATCGGCGACCTATATGTTGTTTGCATGCATAAATCGGCTCAGAATTTAATTCTATGCAGATCATCAAAAGGAGCTATGGGAGACATAATACCCTGACCACTTTGTAGTATAGGGTATAAAAATGGAAGCAGTCCAGTGAGAGGTTATGAAACGAAAGCTATTTCAATTGGGAACTATATTACAATTCTGAAAATCAGACCTAAGAGCTGTGGCGATTCCACATTTAAGTGAATAAAATTTACCCTTGCAGAATCGGACTTCTTATTATATTGTTGAGACAGAAATCGATCAATGGATTAGTTCGCATACCGGACACCTGAGAAAACCAGTTTCATACCGACTCTATCTTTAATTGAAGTAGATTCGAAAGGGTACTTGAATGAATGATTGCTATTACTTCTTTACCTCGATCTTAAATTGGTCAACATACGTTATTCTTAGGTTAAACAGAAGGTTCTCAACTAAAATGTATCATTTCGAAAAAATATTCGATCCGATCAGTTGGTATCATACCTATTTACATTTGGTCTATTTTAAATATTACCAGATAAGGAGATATGATGTACCACTATTGCCTAAGATTGTTTTTTTCCTAACGAGTTAAATTATCAGTTCCAGGCACCGTCTTCATGTCCACCAATGGGAAAGTATGAAAACTCACCCTTCAATCATCGAAGTCTATTTTTCCATTTTTATACCATAGCCAAAAAGTGCCTCAGCGAAATGTCAGGTGTCTTTGAATCAAATCAGTTTCAGAACATTTGGAACCGAGCTCGATTTATATTTACATATTGTTCCGCGAAATTTGTCCACGTATTTCTGGGCTTGTCCATAGCTATGTCGATCTTCGCCCCATTCATATATGCAATTAATTTAAATTGTCCTGGACGGGTTTCCGGTAATAGTGCCGTCTTCTTTAATTTAGAAATTCTGAATAGAATCGGATGTTAATTTCGCGCTCCATGGATATTCCAAATTTTGACCCTTTTGTGGGAAAGGAACCAGAAGGAGTGGACCGATATATCCCATCCTCCCAACATATCTTGCGTTAGTAGAAATAATGCAATGTGTGAAATATGAAGAGAACCGGATGCTTATTTCGGATTTTATGGTCGTTTTGGCTATTCAAAACTTTTGTGGGGTAGGTATCAGAAGCGAAGGTCCGGTCTCTACCATCTTTATAACATATCTAGTGTTGATAAAAATATTGAGATATGTGAAATATGAACAGAACCGGATGCTTATTTCGAATTTTATGATCGTTTTGGTTATTCAAAACTTTGACCCTTTGTGGGGTAGGTACCAGAAGGAAGTGCCCGGCATCTATCTAGCAGATCTGGTGTTGATATAAATATTTAAATATGCCAAGTCTGAATGGAATCGTATTGTGGGAGAGGTAGCAGAAGGAGTGGTCCGATATATCCCATCTTCACACCAGTTCTTGGGTTAATATAAATATTGTGATGTGTGTGTAATTTGAAGACAATCGGACTCTTACATCACATTTAATAAGAGTTATAATTAATGTTGACCCTTTGTGGGGGAGTACTTGATGGAGTGGACCAATATTGCCCTTTTTCACATCTGACCTAGCACTTTGGCAAATATTAGGATTTGCCAAGTTGGAGCAAAATCGGATCCTCCTTTCTCTTTCTGTCTGGAGGTACCGGAAAGAGTGGACCGATATTGCCCATCTCCGAATTTGATCAAAGTTTGATAATAATATTGCGATGTACCAAGTATGGACCAAGTCAGATACTTCCTTCTAGAGGTATCGTGCGTCCCAGCCAGCTAGCCAGACAGACGGACGGACATCACTGGATCGACTCCAAATGTCCTGAAACGGATTTGGTCCAAAGAGACCTGGGGTCTAAACCCGTTATTTCGATGAGGCACGTTGTGGCCATATCAAATGATATATACCTTCTCTAGCTGGGGGTATAAAAAGTAATATATTGCCCATTTTCGAAATTTCAAATAGTTTGGGAAATATATATTATAGAATTCTACACCATATTCAAATTCCGATTATTTTGCTATTTGGGGTTAATTTTACCATCGTGAACTTTTTTTCTTATTGCTTCATAAAGTTTGTTACTAAAATATTTTGAGGTTTGATGTTTGAGGTTTTGCGGTTTTATCAATAACTTATTTTTAAAAAATCGAATCTAAAATGAGAATATAAAAATCTGACTCTATAAAGTCGAATCGACTTTGTGGCTTTTACCACTAGGAAAAATAAGCTGCGGTTTGTAGAATTTGTAATAATAAAAGTCGTTCAATCAATCGATTGAAAATCGACTTTGGTATCCCTACTCCAGTTATATTTTAAATTAGACATTTTCTCCTTTCCAATTTCCACTATGCTTTCTACCCAGATTTAAATGTCCATCGGTAACTTAAAATAAACGGGGTCATATAAATGATGATCATATAAATTTATTGTAGATCTACTAGATTTGTAATTTTCTTCGATATCATAAAGGAGGAATCTGTTATCGTAAAAAAAAATTAATTTTTGCAGTTCAAGAACAGAGCTAATGTAAGTTTTGATTAAAGGTAATTCCTTGAAAATTGGTTCTTTATTACGAACCATGTTTCGACAACTTAAAACAATAAAACTTAATCACAATTGTTGCTACATTACCGATTTGGGGTATATATATTCCATATATTTTTTATTTTATTATATTTTTATTATTTACACTTAGTTTTTTCTTCAAAAGAACACTGATTTGCTCGTTTAGTATTTTTTTTATCTCACCACAGACAATTGACAGTTATAACCCATCATTCGCTCTTTACAGATGGAAATATAACAGCATTACTCTTTTGACACTTGATGGCATAACGGTCAACGAATAGATTGACATTTTACAAGACAATTACAATTGGAGTAAAGCACAGTGAGTTCACTTCAACTTGGCCTTTTCATAACTTTTTTTATATATTTTATCTTATGTTGGTATATATTTTATATATATAAAAAAACTTGTTTACACATCTCTTAAACCTTATGTTTAATTAATTTTGTTTTGATTTGTATTTTTTGCTAATTATTTTTTCTTTTTTTTTTCAAGAAACTTGTTTGACTTGTTATTTTTTTTTAAAAAAAAAAGAACACACATCACTTTTCTGATGGAGAGAGGTATAGAGGAAGAGAGAGAGCGCGCCAGCGGAGGAACACACGTAGTAAACAATCACCAGTCGCAAACAAACAAAACTTGTTTGATCATTTGAAAAAGAATAGGTATCAGATCTTTTTTATTATGTAGATTTTTTGGCAATTAAATTTTTTGCTTTTCTTTTTCTTTTTCGTTTTTTTTTTTTTTTTGTTTCCTTTTCTTTACTCACCCACACAAACACATTTTACACATATTGCCAAAGGAACGTCTTTTACTTTTTCGACGATTCTTTTGATAGAACACTGTTGTTGAACCATTATCCGGATCGATAACGGTTTGCAGGACCCCATTAACGGTTGTTGCCGCACCAGCAGCATCCCCACTACCATGGGATGCACCACCGGCCGACGCTGCAACTGGGGAGGTAGTTGTGGTTGCTGATTTTGGTTTCGTTGGATTTTCCATGCCGGACATTTGTATGGTATCGCTGTAGTAGTTGTATGAGCCCGTCATGCCCGATTCTAAACGTTCGGAGGCGTTGAAATTATTTAGACTATACGAAGAGGACGACGAATTGTTGTTGTTGTTGGTGTATTTGGCGGCTGAGGCCGCATTATTTATATCCGAGAAATCCGTTGATTTGGCGTAATACCGTTCACGGCTACGTTCATTGCGAAAACGTATTTGACTGCTACCGCCACCGTCCGCACCGCCGATACGCGTTAATGACGACGCTGAAGTAGAAGATGCTAAATTATCTCGTCTCGATGTCTGGTGATTATTGTTATTGTTGTACTTTGTTTGCTGGGTAGAGGGATTAGAACGTGCGAGCCGCGAAGACGAACCACCACCGACGACAGAAAAAATTTGACTGAGAAAATTTTTCTGAGTGCTGCCGTTACCATATGTTTGCGGTGAGAACAGAGAGTCATGTTGGCGGCCTCCACGTTTGTGGCGCTGCTGTTGTTGCTGTTGGGCAGAGTATTTATCGTCATGGTGGCGTATGAGTTCTGTCTCAGAATCCCCATCAGACTCTTCGTCGAAGTCTCTCAAAGGTACAACATCATTGTCAATTGTCATGTTTGGTTGCGATGGATGATGGTTATTTTGAAAAAGAAACTGTTATTGAGAGAGGCGGTGGGGAAAGAGAGCAATGCTGTTATTTGGCAAAGAGCGCGTAAACGTAACACAATGAGACGAGAGCTGGGCACACGGGGGAGGGAGTCTTGTGTTTACTATTGCCGCAGATGTGTGTTGAGAAAAATACACAAAACACAAACAAGTATCTGACAGCACTTATTGTCATTAGGCAAAACAACAACAAGAAATTATAACAACACAAACAAGTTGTTGTCTGTCTGCCTGTATTCTTTTTTGCTACGATATTACTCCACTGTTAACTGGGAGATGACTAATTTTTTTGAATACGTGGTCGTTGTTAGAGTTTTACTTTTCTTTTTCTCTTTTTTTGTGGCTGCCGGGGAAGACTCTGTTTGCATCCAAATCTGTTAATAAATTATTAACAAGTCTTTATTTGCACATTTTAGGGTACTCTTAAATGGTTTAGCCACTAAAGTAATACCAACAACTTGTGGCGCATACTTTTCTTTTATACACCCTTAGCTGATAACACTTATCTGGGCCGGGTGTCGTTAATTTTTTTTTATTATTCAATAACCACATTTAATTTAGACAGGCTTCCGTAATTTCACATGACCACACACACACAATTTTACATTTCATTCATAGTTTACATATATATGAGTATGTAGCTAGGTATATGTGGACAATTTTTCGCATTAGCCCAGTTTCTTCACGCTTTGCCGTATAACACCCAAATTTTCTTTTATTATAAATTTCTACACTTTTTGGCCACAATTTCATTTATTTTTAATTCATTGTTGCCACTACTTCTTTCATTTGTCAATATTTGGTGATTTTCACTTCATTTTCTGGCTAATAAACTTTAAGCAAATTCTTCATATTTTTTTTCTAGTTCCGTTCGTCTTTTAAACGCGTATACTTAATGTTGTTGGTGGGTATGTGGGGGCCGTCAAATTGGCATAAACAGCTGTTTGCTTCAACACTCTCACTGAGACACGAGAGAGAGCAAATTCTATTGCAGAGGAATTTGAAGATATGCTGCCAAGTTTTGAAATGTGAACAAAGAGATGCCACTACACATTTAAGTAAAAAATTCACATGAATATTGTGAAATGTAGATGGCGCTCAAACAAAAAAAAATTAAAATTAATAATATTTATACGTTATCTTCCTAAAAATATATATATAAACTGAGTTTATAATTAATTCAAATAAAGAACTAAAATACTTTGTATCAAAAATAAATTTTTCTATTTAAAAAGGGGCAATTATGTTCGAAATAACCAAAAAAATTTTAAAAGTCAGCCATTCAGCTACAAAAGGTGAAAATAATTCCTAAATCAGGAGTGCAACTATTTAACGACAGATTTAAGAAAAATGATAGGTTAGGGTATATTCCCATTTTTTTGGAGGGTATATTAAGTACGTCATTCCGTTTCCAACTCATCAAAATAACAATTTTAGACCTAACAAAATATAAATATATAATCTTGATCCGTGTAAAATTTTAAGACGATTTAGCCTTGTCCGTCTGTTGTAATCACGCAAGATTCAAAACGAATTAAGACAAGAAGCTAAAATTATGCACAGATCAGTCTTTTGTCTGCAGGGAGATCAAATTCGAAGATGGACAATATCGGTCCACGATATCGTATAGCCCCATATTCGGTATTTTAATGATTTTAGACATATTTTTTAATGAAATTTTCTGAAATTCTACACAAGGAGTTTCTTCTGAGTACTTTAACCCCTGGAAAAGGATTGTTTATATAATTCCACGATATTGTATATCCCGCATACAACGGTATCCTCCAATATTATTATTTTGACGATTTTAGCGACATTTTTTTACCGAAATTGTTTCAAATTTCGTTTATGAAGCTCGTAATGAGTGCTACATACCACATGAAATGGCACCATATATCGGTACATCCCGATATTCGTTATTTTGATGATTTTAGCCTCATTCTTCAATGGAATTGTCTGAAAATTCACGCAAGGAGTTCCTTCTGGGTATTCTAACCTCTAGAAGAGAAATTTCTATATAGGTCCACGACATCGTATAGCCCCATATAAAGGTTTTCCTTTTAGCGGTATTTCTCGACATAATTTTTTCAAGTTCCTTCAAAATGGTGGAGGGTATTTCAAGTTCGGCACGGTCGAACTTAGCCGCTTTCATACTCGTTTGATATCATAAAAGGGACATCTGTTATCGTAGTAAAAATGTTTACATAATTTGGTGACATATCACAGAAAAAAAAATAATTTGTATATCATCTCACGGTACCGCTCACCATTCACATTTACTTTACGAATCGCAGCATCTTCGAAGAAATACGGGCTAATGGTGGCACCAGCTCTTTATCCTCAGTAAACTGTATTTATTCTGCTTGCACCGATTGCTTTCGCAATGCTTCTGGCTGATTTTCACACCAAAATCTGTAATTCTAAAGATTTTCGTATCCATTGAGCCAAAAATGAGCTTCTTCGGTAAAGACAATTTTTCGATTTGGAGCACAAGATGAACTCTCTTTACAGAAGACTCATTTTTAAGATACAATGATTTTCATGGTTAAATTATGACCATTCATGGTTAAATCTTAGACTAAACTAAAGATGTTTGACAGTGAAAAAAACTCAAAATTTACGTAAGCTGTTTAAACCAGCGTTAGCAAAAAGAAAATCACTCTGTATACATAAAACATTCCTTGCATGCCTAAAAATGGGAATTTCTAGTTGCAAACGCGCATAAATACATCACAAGCTGATATAAGTTCCATTCCCCAAATTCAAAGCGTCGCCAAGCACCTTTTAAATTTTCAAATGTGGCAACACTCTCACAGGCAAACTTGGCATCACTTTCCTTCTCTTATCAATTGTTATTGTTTGCGGGTGTCTTTTTTTCATTCATAGTTTTTGTTTTTGTTGGAGTAAACAAAAACCTGAAATTGGGGATAAGAAAATCGATTTTTAAACATATCGATAAATTGACATCATACCACTTTTCGATTGTGTTCATTCATAGTTTTTCTTTATCGGAGTGAAGTGGAGCTTTGTTTTGTGTGTTGAGGACATCTACTTGTTCAAATGAGTCCTTAAATGGCCAAGTCAAGTTGCCAAAAGTAGTTGTGTGCAAAGCAAAACTGATTTTGAAAAGTCCCAAGTGAAGAAACAACGAGAAAAATGTTTAATTTCATCAAAGAAGCCATGTCGCCAACAACGCGTTCAAAAGCCATCAAATCAGATATCGCGGAAACGATGGAAATGTCAAAGGAAGCTGGTGAAAGTGTAAAGGAATCTTCCTGTTCCATTGTTGTGCAGTCCCCACCAGCTGTAAATCCAATAAAAGGCTATAAAATAACCGACAATGAAAGAAGTCGCAAATTTGGTGTTGGGGCCAATTCATTGGAAATGCTGAAAACAAAGGCCAAACTTAAATTTCCTGTAAGTATTTGAATGCCAATTATCATTTATCCTTTCCCAATTTAAATTGCGTTGTATCTTTTTGGTTTATATTGAGCCCGAAGGAGAGAAACGTTTTGTGTGACCTTGTGTTGATGTATCCAAAATCATGGTCAACTAAACAAGAAGAGTTTTGTTTTGTATACGACAACAACAACAAAAACAACATTATTGCTACCCATAAATCCCATTTTCTCAAAAGTAATCCTTATGAAATGGCCTTCTCTCTCCGTCAAACCCTCACCCATTTCCCACCCTTTACGCCTTCTCGTTTCATTGTTTGTGCCATTTGCTTGTGTTTGTGCAAGGATTTCAATGTCAGCTCCAATGTGAGCACACAACAACAACAACAGAAACAAGGTCAAATGCGCACAATCGACTCCTGCAATGACACCTGTTGTTGCTGCCTCCACCGTCGCCGCCATATGAATGAGGGCTCAGAAGGTTGCCTAGTCAAGTGTTGCTGGTGGTTTTGCGCTTTGGCATCACTCTAAGAAGGCCATTAAACTTTGCTAGATTGCATATGACTAGGCGTTTGGGTCTGGATAGCTGTGCCATTGCCATTGTTTACCTTCCACAGCAGCATGCAACAACAAAAACAAAAAGTGTGAAGCTCTGATGACTCTATTTGTTGTGTGTTGGTTTAGGGGAATGCAGGTCAGGGTTAATACGCATTAAAAGCGAAAGCCTAAAAGTCAAGTTCAATTTAATTGAAGGCAATCTGTGAAATTACGATCAAGGTTAGGGTTGAGCATGAATGGATGTTTGAAGGACATTGAGGAAATGTTTGTTTGATGATAATTACTTATAAAATGGCTTTATAAAATAAGTTTTTTTTGGATACGAATGAAACTTTAAGAAGCGTGGTCGTGGTCGTGGATCAAAAATTTTCTCCGAATCAAAGATTTTCTCCGTAGAAGAAATTTTGCAAGGGCAACTTTCCTAAAAGTTTCTTAAAAAGTATTCTTCCACAGATAACCCCTTAAAGGCATTTTCCCAAAAGCTAATTTTAAAGGGTTTCTCTCACAAAAGTCCTTCAAAAAGGCTTGCTTTAACGGCATATCTTCTGAAATCCCTCTTTCAGAGAAAATCTCTTAAAAGGACTTTTTCTACTAAGAGATATTTTGAAATGTCTGTTTCCATAGATGAGCTTTTAAAAGGTCTTCTTTCACGGTAAACGTTTTGAGAGGTATTTTTACACTGAGGGGGTTTTGAAAGTTCCCATCCATAGCAGACCATTGGCAAGGACAGCTTCTATCGAAGGCTCTTAATCAATTATTTTTCTCTGCAGGAACTTTTGAAAGGTCTTTATACCGAAAAATCATTTTGTAACGCCTTCTGGAGAGAAGAAATGTTTTTTTCCAGACCGTCCAGAAGACCTTCCGATAGGGTTTCTTTTACAAAATACCATTTGAAAGATCTTTTTCCACAGATGGCTCTTTTTAAATGTGTTCTTTCCAACGCGAAATACCTTTTCAATTTCTTTTTTCCGTAATAAACCTATTCAAAAATCTGTTTAAGAAGATATTTTAAAAGCACTTTATAGCCTCAAAGAGAACAACATCCATGGGTCATAGAACCTTTAAAATACCTTTTTTCCCCAGAAGATTTTTAACGGTGTTCTTTCCCTTTTATTATGAATGACTTTCAAGGGCATTAAAAGCCTTTTGGAAGGCCATTGTACGGACATTTTTAACATGCCTTTTAAGAAAAAAACCTGTCTTTTCCACAGAAGACCTTCCGAAAGTTATACTTTTACAGAAAGCATTTTTTAATAGCAATTCTCCCACAGCTTCCTAAGCCGATTTTCTAACCCAAAAAAACTTTTCAATTTCGAATTTCCAAAGCTGTCTAAAAAGACTTTTTTAAAGAAGGCCTGTGGAAAACACTTTGTAACTTTAGAGATTAAACCTTCCATAGACAATCTTTTGAAAGGCTTATTTCCTCAGAATATCTTTGGAAGGGTCTTCTTCCGCAGAATACATTCCGAAATGCCTTTCTCCAAAGAAGACCTTTTAAACCTAGAGAATAGCATAAATACAACATTAGGTAATATTTCACGTTGGTTGAGAAATAATAATCTAGTAGTAAATGTTTTCAATGTTGATGTGTTAAGAAATGTTATACTACTTTATATAACCAAGTTTCTGTTTTATCTATAGTAGTCTTTGATTTACTATTATATTACAATTCATGTTGTACATACTCAAGTTTTTTCATTCCTAATAAAACTTCTACTACAAAAGGTTATGAGCCCAGGAGTCTCTGAGAAAAATAAAAATTATAAAAATATAGAACTTCAAAAATTACAATAACTAATAACTTATAAAAAAAAAAAAAAAGAAGAAATGGATTTTGCTAAGCACATCAAGCCTTTGGAAAACGAAACGGACTATCCAATATGGAAACGGAAGATGCGTGATTTATTAGACTATCACGAAGGAGCAATTGACGTTATTGAAGGTAAACTAAAGAATCCAAATCCACCATCCTCTGATGCCACGAGTGAACAAAAGAAGCTGTACAAGGAAAAGTCGGACTTGTATAGAAAAGCAAACAGTTATGCAAAATCCATGATAGCAAGCGCAGTAAGTGACAATGTGTATCAAAAGATAATGGATAAAGAAACTGCTGCTGAGGCTTGGGAATCGCTAATGGTTCAATTTGAGGCTAGATCGAAGGATCAATTATTCAAAATATGTATTGACTTCTTCTCATTTACATGGAATTTAAGTGAAGACGTGAGCTTACATATTGCAAAACTCAAAAGTTTGTGGATAGAACTCAATAACGGATTGAAAGGACGTAAGGAAAATGAGCTCCCAGAAGTTTTATTAGTTTGCAAAATCCTTCAAATTTTACCAAGTCATTTTGATACTTTTAAGTCAAGTTGGATGCTTTTAACAAAAAACGAAGAGAAGAATTTTGAGGAAATGACCGCACAACTCTGTATGTATCAAAGAAATTGCAAAGGTGCTGATGTTAAGGACGAAGAAGCTTTAATGCTTAATAATGTCAAGAAAAAATTCCCACAAACCAATAATACAAAAACAAGCAAGAAAAATGGTGCATGCAATTATTGTCATAAGAAAGGTCATTGGATACGAGATTGCAGAAAATGGATAAGTGATGGTAAGCCTATAAAAGAAAAGAAGGCTGAAGCAATAACTCCTCAACACCAGATTTTACCTTTAATGTATGAATAGATTAACACAATTAAGGAGGATATTTCAAAGAATTGGTGGATTGATAATGGCGCTACACGACACGTGGCAAATAATAGAAATGTATTTAAATCTTTCGAGAAGTTCAAGGAATGTTGCAAGATTAAAGCGGCCGGTGGTGAAATGTTAGATGTAATTGGGAAAGGTACAGTTGATATCAAGTCTTATGTCAACAACAAGGTAATCCAAATCACACTAACAGATGTTTGGTACGTTCCAAGAGTGTCAAGGAACTTATTTTCTGTTTTATCTGCACAAGACAAGTGTTCAAACAGTGAATTTAAGTCAACAGCAACTGAGTGTGAACTTTGGGTCAATAATAAGGTGATATTAGTTGGTCATCGGGAAAAAGGAGGCACATTGTATCTAGCGGATATTGAAACAGTCATCTCAAATTCAACAAATGAAGTAAATTTAACGGAATCTGATAACACATTGCAACTATATCATGAACGTTGGGGACACCAGAATAAACGCCATGTACAGAAGAAACTAAGGGAGGAATTTGGTATTAATGTAAAACTTGATATGCAAATTTGTGAATCCTGTATTTATGGAAAGTCACATCGATTACCTTTTGGTACTAGAGAGGTTTCTAAAAGACCAGGCGAATTAATGTCAGCTGACGTATGTGGCCCATTCCATATGTCTTTCAGCAAAAGGAAGTATTTGGTCATATTTAAAGATGCATACAGTAAATATTGTTTTGGATATTTCTTGAAGGAAAAATCCGAAGTTAAAACTGTATTGAAGGAAGTTCTAGCTTTTTCAGAAAATCAAGGAAATCCAATAAAAGAATTTTTGAGCGATAATGGTGGCGAATTCGATAATAATGAAGTAAAGCAAATTCTAAAGAAATATGGAGTTACACAGAGACTAACTGCTCCCTACACTCCGCAACAGAATGGTGCAAGCGAGAGGGAAAATAGAACTGTAATTGAGATGGCCCGTACTTTTAAGTACTCGAATAAGAATGTCCAATTTCCTGAAGCTATTTGGGCTGAGTTAGTTCGTACCGCCATATATATTTTAAATCGTACTCGCAAGACACCAGTTGATGACAAAAGTCCACATGAACTTTGGTTTGGAAGAAAACCCAGAATTACTCATTTGAGAATAGTTGGAAGTGAATGCTATGTCCATGTTCCAAGTCAGAAGAGGAAAAAGATGGATTCAAAGGCAATCAAGGGACATTTAATTGGATATGATACTGAAGAGCGTTATAGAATTTACATCAAAGAAAATCAGAGTGTAATTTTGTCAAGAGATGTGACATTTAATGAACAAATTTCAAAATGTGACGATCAAAAGCAAGAGATGAATGAAGAGTTTTCAAATAAGAGAGCTGAAGAAATAAAATTGCCATTTAAATCATATGAGAGATCTAAAGAAGAAGTGTTAGAAGAAGATCATATTCAGCCCAGTACACCAAGATATATTCAAGAGATTCGTTGTGATTCACATTGGGAAGATGAGATGTTTGAAGAATGTTCGGAAGAAAATGTATCCAATGAGAGTGATTTCCGTGGATTTGATACGATAGAAAATACAATTAGAAATCGTTTAAGAGATCGATCAACGCTACATAACTCGAAGTATGATGACTATGTTATGGCTGCTCAAGATTTTATGTGTGAAGTACAAACACCTACCAGTTTTATTGATGCTGTCGAAAGTACAGAAAAATATCATTGGATAAAGGCAATGAAGTCAGAAATGAATTCCCTCAGAGAAAACAACACGTGGGATTTGATTCAACTTCCAAAAGGAAATAAGGTACTCCCATCAAAGTGGGTTTATAAGATAAAAACTAACCCTGATGGTAGTACAGACAAATACAAAGCAAGATTAGTTATAAAAGGATACAAACAATGCAAAGGTGTAGACTACAATGAAACCTTCAGTCCAGTTGCAAGGTTGGCAGCGATACGAGCTATAATAAGTATAGCTGCAAGTGAAAAGATGCATCTATCTCAATTTGATGTATCCACTGTTTTTCTTTATGGCCACCTTGAAGAAACTATTTTTATGAAACAACCAGATGGTTTTGATGACGGCACAGGAAGAGTTTGTAAGCTTAAAAAGAGTCTATATGGATTAAAGCAAGCTCCGCGGTGTTGGAACCGAAGATTTGGAAAATATTTATTAAAAATCGGTTTTATAGCAAGTGACGCCGATCCCTGTATATACATACGAAATCAAGAAGGGAATAAATTAATACTAGCTCTTTATGTAGATGATGGTCTAGTAGCTGCCACAGACCCCGGCGAGCTGGAAACATTTTTGGAAGAGTTGAGAAGAGAATTCAAAATAACCACAAAAGATGCAAGTTATTTTTTGGGTCTGGAAATAAAGGCAAATGAAAGTGGAATATCAATCAGTCAGGAAGCATACGCAAAAAGAATTCTGGGAAGATTTAGGTTTACTGATTGCAGGCCAGTTTCATCGCCTATGCTGAAAGGAGAAAATTTCGAATCGGGGAAAGACAATGTGAAGTGTTCTCAATTTCCATACAGACAAGCCGTAGGAGCCATTATGTATCTTATGTTGGGAACAAGGCCTGACTTAGCTTATAGCATTGGATTCCTTTCAAGAACATTAGAAAATCCATCCAACGAAGATATTACCCGAGTTAAAAGAGTTTTTCGTTACATATCTGGAACAATTAATTATGGAATATTTTACAACAACGAACATGCTCAAGAGCTAGAATGCTACAGTGATGCAGATTTTGGAGGATGTTTGAAAACCGGAAGATCTACATCTGGTGTTGTTGTAAAATTTGCGGGAGGGGTTGTATCATGGTTAAGCCAGAGACAAGCTATGGTAGCAACATCTACAACAGAAGCAGAAATTGTTGCAGCTTCTGAAGCAACAAAAGAAGTAATTTGGCTAAAACGTTTATATTCTGAATTGATAGAATTAAATTCCACTCCATTGTTATATGTTGATAATTCTGCTGCAGTACGTTTGGCACAAAATCCTGAATATCACAAACGCACAAAGAATATCAACAATAAGCATTTCTTTATTAGAGAAAAAATTTCTGAAAATGAGCTTCAAGTAATACAAATACCTACGCAAGATCAATTAGCTGATTTGATGACAAAACCTTTGCAACCCACAAGACTTAAACTTCTTTGCGATCATATTGGATTACAACAAACAGCCTAACATCTCTTAACAAGGGAAAGTGTTGATGTGTTAAGAAATGTTATACTACTTTATATAACCAAGTTTCTGTTTTATCTATAGTAGTCTTTGATTTACTATTATATTACAATTCATGTTGTACATACTCAAGTTTTTTCATTCCTAATAAAACTTCTACTACAAAATTCAAGACAAAAGCAATGACATTTGGTTCACCTTGCCGACTGAATAGCGGTATTAATATACAGGTTAATGGTGTAGTGGTGGATTTTGTTGACCGCATAAATTGTTTAGGTGTTGTTCTTGATGCCAAGCTTGATTTTTCTTTGCATATTGATGCACTGTACCCCAAAATTATAAATATGCTACGAAAATTACACTCAACTGATTTCTATTTGCCCTTATTTGTAAAGAGAAATCTTGCTCATTCTTTGTTATTTTCGGTAATTTCCTACTGCATTGAAGTGATTTCTGGTACAACACATGAGTATTTAATGAAATCAGAAAAACTTTTTAACATTATTGTAAGATATGTTTATAATTTGCGTCGTTTTGACCATATTTCTGCGCATGCAGTCCTCTTTCTAGGAGTGTCATTCTCTACTTTTGTTAAACAACGCGTGGTTTCATTTCTATATAAATGTATCAGTTTAAATCTTCCCGGTTTTCAGCGAGATCGGCTAGTGTTCTCTCGGTCTACTAGGAATACGCAAATAATTTTCCCTCATTTTTCTACGTCTCTATATGAAAGATCTTTCATAGTTCGTTCCGCACGAATCTGGAATCAGCTTCCAGCTGAGCTACGACAATTCTCGTTTTCCCGCGGTGTTTTTCGCCGCATGTTTGAAAACTTTGTAGAGGCAAATGGAGGTTAACAATTTGTTTGTTAATGATATTGACGATACTGTATCGTTTGATTCAATATTGTTTTTTTTTATTACCAGCAATAGACTTAAATTTATTTTCATTGGCTGGGGAGCCTTTTTGTCCATATTTTACATATGATTTCTTAGGTTACTTTAAGATACACTATGTAATATTTTTAAAATGTTTTTTTTTTTTTTATTTTGGAGTACACTTTTGTAGTTTTCTGATAGTTGTGATACTTATTGGCCTAATGGCTTTTTCATTGCAACATATAAATAAATAAATGAAATGAAATGAAATGTTTCTTTTTAAAGATGTTCTTCCATGGCAAACCTTTTGAACGTATTTTTCCACAGAAGACTTTTTAAAGGTATTTTTCAACAGAAGAACTTTTTAAATAACTTCATCCATAGAATACCTTCTATAAAGCCTGATTTTCAAAAGGTCTTCTTTGCAGAAGAAAAGTGCACACAATACCTTTGGAACTGTGCTTGTCCCACTGAAGATACTATTAAAGACCTTTCTCCAAAGAAGATCTTTCGGATGACCATTTAAATAGAATGCCTTTTAAGGGACCTTCTACCATTGCAAGCCTTTCGAAAAGTCTTTTTCTACTGAAGAATTTTTAAATCTTCTTCCACAGATGATATTCAGAAATGCCTTCATCCACACAGGAATTTTAAAGCCCTGCTTCAATTGAAGATAGTTTGCTTCTTATCAAGAATAAAAGTCCAGAGTTTTTGCTCAGATTTTTTCCAGATTCAGATTTTGTGCAAAGAAGAGTATCTCAAATTCGTTTTCATAATAAACCTTTTGAAAAGTTGTTTTCTTCAAAAGAAGTTCCAAAAAGGACTTTAGAACTCTAGATACACTTTTGAAAGGCCTTGTCCCACGGCAGACCTTTTCATCGTTCTTCTTCTGAAGGGCCTTCTTCCGAAAAGGATATTTTGAAAGGCTATGTTTGTTTAAATACATTTTAAAGGACCTTCTTTGAAAGTTTTTTTTCTGCAAGTATTTTTGGAAAGTTCTTCCTCCACGAAAGGTCTCCTGAAAAACCTTAACAGAAGACCTTTTGAAAGAGCTATCTCCGTACAAAAGTACTTCCTCCATAAAAGGTCTCCTCACGAGACCTTTAAAACTCCTTCCTCCATGCAAAACCTAAAAGTCCTTTCTCCATGAGACACTTTTTATATTATTAGCCTCCATAGATCTTTTGCTTCTATAAAAGCCCTGTTGACTCTAAAGAAGCCCTTTTGAGGGTCAACTTATTCCTTCGGCCATTATCAAATTAGTACTTTAAGTACAATTATAATACGCATTTCAAAAACTACCTAAATATCTCAATTCCAGATGAAAACAGAGACCAAAATAACATATTTAAGTCCTATCCCTTCACCCTTTTCGTACAAATAGAGGACGCATTCCAAACCACCGCCAAATCTCAAGATATTCCATTTAAAGGTCTTTTGTCATAGAATACCTTTGTGAAGGATGTCTCCTTTTGTAGACTTTTAGCAAGGACATCTTTCATAAAACGCTTTTTAAGAGTCATTTTCCATTGAACAACGTTTGAACTGCACTCTTTCATAGAAGACTTTTTGAAAGGTCTATCCATGCATAGAAGATAGTCTTCTAAAAGATTTTTTCCATAGAAAAGCTGCCATTTTTATAGAAACAATTTTCTGTCATGGGCTGTAGTATCCATTACGAACCTCACGTACCAAATTTGAAACATTTCCGGTGAATCATGTCGCTTAAATCACCAAAATACCGAAAATCGGGAGGAGTCTGAATTTCATCAGTGTTTCTTCCATTAAAGACATTTATCTAAGTATTCTTCTATAGGTGCATTTTTATAAATGATCTTCAAAACAAGTTTTCTTCCACTGCTGAATTTTTAAATGAAGAAAATTTGTTTCTGGCACCTCTGATATAATTATGGAAAAAATTTACCTCTTCCTAAATGTCTCCTTTAAAACGTTTTGAAGACCTCACCAAATGTCTTCTTTGGGAACTTTCACAAAAGTCCAATAACTTTTCTTAGGTCTTATGGGAAGGGATACATTTAGAGAGAGATCTAAAATAAAACATTTATATTTCGTTTCGATTTGTTACAATTTTTTCAAAGTCTACTTGAATAGAAAATAGCTTTAGAATATACTTCCATCAATTATTCAATATTAAAAATATATTCGTTTCTTTTTCTAGATCAAAGACTTGCACATTTACTTGGCCTCTGATGGCTATGAAGTTACCGATGAAGACTATTTTTCCACACTGGAATCTCAGACCTTATTTATAGTGGCTGGACCCGATGCCATTATAACGACTGGTAAGCTTGTCAACATAGCCACAATAAAGTCCTCTCAAAAATACAAATTTTTCTCACTTCCAGATTCTGACTTTGAATTCGAGCAGCTGAGACAACGATCGCCCCTACTAAAAGTTGCCGATATCATATACGATTTCATGGAACAGCAGCCGGAAAAATTCAGCAAATTAATTGCCGAATATGAACGGAAAAAACTACCGCACAAATATGATCAAAATAAAACAACGCTAAGCATTAAAAGCGAACACCCTGAATGGTTTCTGGGACAAGAGGAAAAATGTTACACCAAAGAGGAGGCATTGCAGCGTAAGGCACAAGATCGTGTCCGTTGTTATTATTATAAAACCAAAGATGAACTAACCCGCAATCGTCTCTATCAGCAGAATCAAAAGGCACGACAAATTATCGATTCGGTGTTGGAGAAATTTCGTTATCTTTTAATTGGTTGTGATTACTTTTCGATGATTTTCAATCGTAAATGTGAACATAAACATGATATAATCAAGAATAAACTCGAAGAGGATAAGGATGATGAGACCGATGCCCGGGCAGTGGTACCAAATAAGAGATTAAAACAAGTCATCAGGGAGTACACGGCACGTCATGAAATCCTAGATCAATGGTCGGTTTCGCTCTGCACCGATTTGGGAGATTTCTATTGTCAGGGCTCCTATTCGGATTCAGCGAATAATTGTGCCCTACAACACACCATCAATCCCTATGCATCAAGGGAAAATCTAATATTGTTTCAAGTTTGGAATTTGGATCATCAAATTGAGTTGTCACGGACAATTTTACCAGCTCTCATAGAAAATGTACGCGAGCTGATTAGCACACCGAAACGCATGTGTAGCCTGCACAAGGCCCCTGTTGTGGATGTCTCTGTTTTGGAATATTTCCTAGAAATATTCTCTTTGAAAAATCTTAAACTTGTGCACATCGTATGCCATGAAAAGTCACAACGGCAGAATAAATCAAATGGTCGTCTGCTGTGTAAACAGTGTCATGAATATAAAATTGTCGAAGAACTAATGCAAGTTGAATATAACTATAATCCAGATGATTGGTAAATCGAAGAACACTTAAACTTAAGGTACAAATTGAGAGTGAAAAACCCTCCAAAAAAATGGAATTCTGTACAAAATGCAAACACAATTTAGTTCGTAGAAAGTAGAACAATAACTTGTTAATTTGTAGACATTATTATGTAGAGCTTGTTGTATGTGCTTTGTTTTATGTTGCCAAAAATTGTTGAATACCCACATATTACTAGATTAAGATTAGATCTCAGCCATCGAAATTTTTTGGTTAAAGCCATAACCTAAAGCCTGTTTCTGTATGTCGGCACGGGAGAGAAATCGAAAGGAAGCCAACATTTCAAATGTAATTTTTCAAGATTTTTAGTTAACACAAAAAGAGCTAGAATTTGAAATACATTCTCATTGGGAATGGTGTTTCTCTTTTGTATTGATATACGGAAACAGGTCCATAATTTCACATATAAAATCCCTACAACATATTTTATAAACATATAAAAGGTCATTTTTTCGTAGAAACCCTCCTAAAGTTTATTCATCCCTACAAGACTTTATATTGCTATTCTATATATAGAAGATCTATCAACAAATATTTAATAGAAAACCTGTTGTTTTTTAGATAGAGATTTTTATTTACGATCTTTTGAAAGCCTGCCGCTTCAAGCTATTGATAGGTCTTCTGCATATAGAAGACCATTCTTCTCTACTGCTTACAGAATATACGTCTCTAAATGCCTTCCGTCTATAGAAAATCTTTAAAATACCTTCTGTATATAGGCGATTTTTAGAAGGGCTAAAAAAACATGTCCAATTTATTGTAAGCCCTTCAATGGCCTTCTATAGGCGAAACATCTTTTTAAAGACCTCTATCAACAAAAGGCATGAAAAAAAGTATTATATCTTTTCAGGACATATTTACGATTCCATTAAGTCATATAGAAACCATACTGTCCTTAGAACCTCCCAAAAAAATGCCAACTAAATCTTGAAATTTTCTTTTGCCATTTGAATCCCATATAACTATTCATACTAGTTCTAAGAAACCCAGATCTCTATAAAAATTAACATTTTTAACCTGTATCAATTAAGAATGCCAAATGTTTCATAGTGTTACTACTTGATAACAAAACAGTTTTGCCAGTCTCTCGAACTCTTGAAATATCCCTTTTCAATTCCCCCATATCTCTATCTCGAGTCTATTTTATGTATTTTTTATATTGTTGAGCTTTAATTATTTTTAATACATTTTCTTTTCTACAATAAGAACAGTTAATATCTCTAAAGTTAACAGAATATGCCAATATATAACATATAACAGTAATTAATAAACATATTAGAAATACAAATGTAAACTAATTATCTGATTTCTTCTCCTTTTCATTTCATGTCATCATCTGAATTCATTCACATCAATTGTCATTCATAAAAAATCTATCAACTTTTGTTCTCAATAAATTATGTATCGTGAATTTTATGGATGTGAGCAGAACGTAATAATTTGGTAAGTGAATCTATTTCATTTCTTTATATATAACCATTGAATTGTAAGATGCATGTTTGATAAAAAATTCTAGTTGAAATCGTGATGTTTTCAATTTTTAATAATATCTATAATTGGAGAAAATTGATTTATATTCATAGTATTTTAGGAACTTTTGTTTGTACCCTCCGCCATACTATGAAGGGTATATTAACTTTTTCATTCCGTTTGAAATTCCTCGAAATACTCATGTCAGACCCAACAAAGTTATATTTGGAACGAATTGAGATAGAAGGCTACAATTCTGTACACATTTGTATTTTGCCAGTAAGCAGAGTTATTTCGTAAGTGGGCAATGTCGGAGTTAGTGATTTTTTCCAAACTTGGCATTTCTGAATATTTCTCTAATTTGCACATCCTAATATTTTTATCAGCATTAGATGAAATCTTAAAATGGAATACTTCGGTCTACTATATGTGATACCTCACGCTCATTTCAACATGTTCCAAAAATAATATATGAATTGAGGGAAGTAGTCGATATGGTCCAAATCTGGGACGCTGCAATATTTATATCAGACATGAGCCAGATACGAAATTGTTGGTTTTGTAACAGTTTCACATCTTTTGATTAAATTCTGCTAATGTGGTTCAAACTCCAGGTTGAATTTTATGAGTTGTAACCAATAATATTCTGGAATGATTGGGGCAATTTTGGCGGGACAATTAAAGAGTTTCAGCGTATTATGCGGGCCTATATCACAATACGATTTAAGACAACTACACCATCCTGAACGGAATTGCGCCAAAACTACCCTTGTTGGTCTAGGTATGTCCTTTCTGACATGCCTGGGAGGTGAAGTTCTAACTCCAAGTTCAAAAATTCGGCTACTATCGCGAGCTGTAAGCAATAATATTCTAGAATGGTAGGGGTAGTTTTGGCGGGGCAATTAAATGAGGTGAAGCGTATTGTGCGGGCCTGTATAACATGCCGGGCAGACGATTCACACATCTTCGTCAATTCGAGAGCGATTTACCATAACTTACTCTTATCGGTTCAAATGTTGCAACACAACAGATCGCAGTTCTTTGTATTTTTCAAATATCTTGAAGAAAGACTGAAACCGTTTTAGCGTCTCGGAATTTTGTTTTTGTACCCTACACCACATAGTGCTAATGGTATTATGTCTTTGTGCATTTGTTTGTAACATGGAGAAGGGAGCGAGATAGACACATAGTTACTTTTGGGGATTTTCATAGAATCACTTACTGCGTTGATTTGTACATTTCAGTCCGTCGGTCCATGTTTCTTGTAAACAAAATGCAGTTCGCATTTATTATCCGATTGAGATGAAGTTTTCCAAACAATATTTGTTTGGCTCAAGGACGAACCCTATTGGAATTGGTGATAATTGGATCAGATTTAGTTATAGCTCGCATATATCTTCAACCGATTTAGGCCTAATTTTTCACAAAAGGGGCAAATCACAGTCCAATTTACCTGAATTTTGGCACATTTGACCGAATTCAGTCTAAAAGCAAGTACATCAACATTGGTGAAAATCGGTTCAGATATAGCTATAGCTCCCATATATATGTTTCATCCGATTTGGTGTTTAAGTCCCTCACATTCGTAATATGCATTCGACAACAGTAATATTTGGTACCAGATATCAGATACAGTACAGAAATGTCTCTGCCAAATTATATTAAGATCGGTTCAGGTTTGGATAAAGCTCCCATGTATATCTCCAACAGATTTCAGGTTATTTGTGCGCCAAATGACCAATATCTTCCCAAAAGTATTGAATTTTTGCACATCCGACTGAATTCAGTCTAGAAACAAGTACATCAAATTCGGAGAAAATCGGTTCAGGTATAGCTGTAGCTCTCATATGTCTAATATGCACTCCACAAGAATAAAATGTTGTACCATATAAAACCCAGAAATACCTCTGTCAAATTTTTTCAAGATCAGTTCAGATTTGGATATAGATCCCATATATATCCTTAATCTGATTTCAGGTTTATTATGCAAATAATGGTTAATATCAATCCAAATGGACTAAATTTCGGGACGTAAGTTTCCATTTTGTGGAACTCGGCTCCAATATATTTTATTTTAATATAATCCTTCTCGAAGTGTTGTCATGCACTCTATAGCAATGTTATTTGGTATAAGAGATTAAAATGTCTCTGTCAAATGTAGTCCCATATATAAGTTCCCTCTGAAACCAAACTATAACTGCTCTAAAGCCAAATGTTGATAGGTGGTATGATCTACTTCAAATAAATTCTTTTGTAACGGGAGTTGTAATAAATTTCATATAAGGTGTATCATATAGTCGGCCCCGCCCGACTTTTGACTTTTCCTTACTGGTTCCTCTTTGTCTTCCATAAAACAAATAAATCACAATTTTTTTAGGGATATTTTTATTTATTTATTTCAATATTTAGATCATAAAATGATACTACAAACAGAATAAAAATTAAAACACAGTAATTGATTAATTAAAAAAATAAAATAAATGATGTGAAAAAAATGATAAATAATAATAAGAAATATTTCATGTTGTTGTATAGCAATAATAATAATAATAAAAAAAATAAATTAATAATAACAAATTATTGGAAAATTAAAAAATAATGAGCAAATGAATTCAATCGTTGCTTTCTTCATTCTTTTAATACAAATTCTTTGTTCTTCTTGAGGTTTAGTAAAATCGAAATATTTTTTGAATTGAATTTTGCATGAAATGAGATGAGTGTGTTTCGTTTACAATTGTTGTTGGTTTTTTTAAGGTTAGGTTTTTCTTTAAGAATATATAAAGTCATTAAGTAAAATTAAATAATGAATTGTTGTTTGTTTTTTTCTTTTTTAACTAATTAATGAAAGTTAGCGTTCGTTCTAAGTCGTTAAATGTTGAGTTAAGTGTTTGGTTTTTAGTAAATGTTTAACTTAATTCAAAATTCTTGTTTTTTAAGATCACTTAAACTTTTAAATTCTTTTTTCAAATCATTTGTTACCTTCTTGAGTAAATTGTTACAAAAAGAAAAGAAAACTTAAAAATAATTAACGCCACGCTTTTTTCGTTGTTCCTTCCAAGCTACCTCTGCAGGTGTTTCCGTTTTCATCAATTCCTTAACAAAAATCTCCCCTTCTTATGGGATGGTGGGGAGATTGTGGTACAGTAGACTTTTTTTGTTTGTCGTTATTGTTGCAATAAAAACCCAAATTTCTCTAGTTTTGTTTTGATTGTTGTCGTTTTTTCTTTCTACTTTTTAAGTTGTTCAAAATATTGGACACTTTTTTGTTCAAGTTGGAAATCTATAATTAATTTCTATGGCATAAAAGAAAATAATTATAGATCCGACTGTCCAGGTCCTGGAATAGAGAAAGAGAGAAGAGAAAAAGAAAGTGTTTTTAGTATTATATCGTAAAATATATAGGTTTACATACATATAAAGCTTATCATAGAAAAGAGATGTAAGGAGTAGCAAAATACAAGATTCAGGTGTAGATGAGGTCCTTATATATGATTGGTAGACCTATCTGAATATGTTCTATGAATAGGAGAACCTCTAAGCATATCCTTGTTAAATAACTTCTCAATTTGCTTCAGTATAAAGGGTGAGATGAAAAAATTGCAACCAAGTCAAACGCCATAATTTTCAAATTTATTGAGTGAAAGCAAATTTATTGAGTGATTTGTTCGAATTGGTCACCTTTGGCACAAAATATGGCCTTCAAACAGTCAATGAAACCGTCACACGCTGCCCGAATGTTGCGCTGTGGTATTTTGGCCCATTCCGGGCGAAGCGCTCGTTTTTAGTGCCAACCTTGCTTTCCAAAATACTCCAGACACAATAGTACAACGGATTGATATCCGGAGATTTTGGTGGCTATTGTGGGCTGGAAATGAAGCGAGGAACCTCATTTTGTAACCATTCTTGGGGTGCTGAGTGCTGTTGGAATGCCCAAGGTCCGCGGACAAAATGTTTGCGTGCCCAAGGCTTTAATACACCCTCCAAAACACTTTTGCGATAATATTCGGCATTTATTCTGATGCCATGGTCGATAATTACGAGCGGAGAGCGAGCATCGGCTTTTATGGCGGCCCACACTATCACCATGACCGGCTCTTGAGTTCTGGTGGCCAAATGAAGGTGCACATTTTCAGCTGGCCTCTTTGGCAAGTAAACACGAATGTTTTCTCATCGGAGTAAACCAAATTCGGCGGTTCACCACTTTCGGCCAAGCGAAGAAACTCTTTAGCTGTTTTTAGTGTCTATTTTCTTTCTGTTGCGGTGTAAGTTCTTGCACTTTTTGGAACTTCAATGGCTTTACCCCGAGCTCATATTTCAATATTTGCCGAATAGAATATTGCGATATGTTCAGCTCACGACCCATTTTTTGGCCACTGCGACGCGGGTTTTGATCAAGTCGCTTCTTTACTTTTCGAAACATTTCTGCTGATGTTGCTATTTTCTTTCGTTCACTTCCTTGACGTCGGGCTACGCTACCAGTATCACGGTAACGAGCGATGGTACGAGACACAAGAGATGTTTTCAGATTTAAATGCTGGAGTGCTCTAACGATAGCCACTTGTGGTTTTCCAGCCAAATATCACGCTTGAATTCCATCACGAATAAATTTTTTTCTGGGAAATTCTCACCAAAATGGTTTTGTACGCTTGTAGACAATATAATGAGCTATCACTGGAATAATTTTAACAGCTGTCGGACGAGTGGCTCAGAAATGACAGCAGTCTGAAGTTGTTTGCAGTTTTTTCATCTCACCCTGTATAGGAAGGCTAATAGATACAAGATATGTTTGAAGATCAATACAAAATTGAAGACCGAAATGAATTTCCGGAGACAGAGGGCCTCATAAAATTTTTGCTTTAAGGTAGAAGGTCTTTAAAGTCTTCTAAAAACCTAGAACTCTTGAAAGATTTATTTTATTTTATTTTTTTATTTAGCAAAAGATGGAAATCCATTCACCAGACTTTTATAGGATCCCTTGAAAGAGTCTTCTATGGAAAAATACATTTTTGAAGGTCTCTCTCTCTCTGTCCAAAAATGTTATATCTTGCCAATCCTTTCACCTCTTTTTTTAATTTTCTTTTATTCGACAGCCGGTCTAAAAGCGGCTAAGGGTATTATGGTTTTTTGTACACAATGGACTTTAGTTTGGGGGGATATCAGAGACTTTAGGACACACAAAAGCATTTGAAACGAAAGCTTATATTTCGATTCACAAAAGCTACAAAGCATGCAGCGAAATAATGGAAAAAATAAAACTTAAAAGAGAAATAAAAAAAAAAAATAACAAATACTAAGGCTTTCTACAGAGACTTCAATGAGAGAAAACTTCACCTTTTTTTCGATTATGAGTTTGTTGCCTTTGTTTACATGTCTTTGCAACTTTTTTTTTGCTTTAACTTTAGACTTATAAAAATATTTTTTCGAAATATTTTTCTTTTTTTGGTTTATTAAGAAATTATAAACTTGTTTTGTTAAAAGCCATTCATTGTTTTTTGTTGTTGTTTTTGTTGAGTGGGGTATTGATTTGGGAGAGTGTTAATGTCAATTTTCGGTTTTTTTTTAACAACAGAAGGAGTTTAAGGATTAAAAAGAAAAACATTTATAAAGGAAATGCTTTAATGAACCACACAAAACAGAATGTTAATGAAAGAAAAAAAAAAACAAAATAGAACGACTTTTTTTACAATTTCTTAGTTTGCTTATAATTATTTTTATAATTTTAAATTAAATTTAAATTCGGTTTTTATGGGAATTTTTGTATTTTTTGTTTTTAAGCCAAAGGTGGAGTTTACTCTCCATTGACTACATTTTTATGTTCGAATTATAAAACAAGAAAGCAAATTTATTGATATATTTTTATAATTTTATTTATCAAACACTACCAGAAATATTTACGATAAAATATTTTTATACAAACCTCATGTAGCTTGGTGTTAGCAAGCGTTTTTTTTGCCAATTTAATTTAATTTTATTATTTTTTTAATAAGCAAATATTTGATATAGAATATATTGATACAGAAAATTATTAAGTGACTTTTCTAATGTCCAAAATAATTGAAGCAAAAACCGCATAGCTTAGAGTTGCATATAAGCATTAATGTGAATAGTGAATGAATTAATGATTTTTTTTACTAATATTTTTAAGCAATATCGGAGTTATAATCATTTTTCAAGGACTGTCTGAGGTCTATTAATTTTTTAAGATAACATATAAAAAACATCGTATTAAGAATCATTGATTTTTGTAAGATTTTTCAAATATTGTTATTTGTATTATGAATATTCATAAGGATTATGAACGCTATAAATTTTAATTTAGCGAATTATATTTTTTCCAAGAACTATCAGAGCTAAAATCGCGAATTTGTCCATAATTTCTTTCAATGGCTGTAATAGCTTAATATAGGTCAGGTTTTTAGAATATTTTTTTCAATAGTATTAGAGCTGTAAGACTGGAGTTTGAAATTTGGAAGAACATAACAAACAAAAGTCCGTTTTTTAGAAATATTTTTAAAGATTTTTACTTTTTAAGAATATTTTATAGACTTCGGACTTTTATAAATATTTCTAAGAAGTTTTAGAGCTACAATCGTGAATTGCTTTAAGATTTTCTATCCAGGGACATAAGGACTTTTCAGAAAATTTTATGGAATTACTTTTGAAGCTAAAATCTCATATTTTAAACATTATTTTCACATTATTAGAAATTTGTGATCGGGGATTTTAAGCATACATTTTTATGGACCTTCAGAGCTATAACGGTTGCATTTCAATACTTTTACCCCCATAAGTTTAGATCTTTTCAAGGACAATCAGTACATTAATCATGGTATTTTAAATAACATTTTTATAGATTATAAGAACTCTAATCGGGAAAAGGCGATCGGATTTTTTTTAGAGATTGGTGTTTTTTAATATATTTTTTATCATTATGAATTACTTAGACTAATTTAAGAGCTATGCAAGAGTATTTTAGCTAAACTTTCAGAAAAATTCGCAATGATTATCTTATTTTTTTTTTAGAATTATTTTATGGCCTATCAACTTTAATCGTGTATTTTTATGGTATGGAGGATATATTAAGTTTGTCATTTCGTTTGTAACACTTCGAAGTATATATTTTAGACCCCACAAAGTACTTATGTACATTCTTTATCAGCATAAAATTCTATGCCGATTTAGCGATATCCGTCCGTCTGTGGAAATCAATCTAGCTTCCGAATGAAATTAAGTAGGTTGGTAAAATTTTACTCAGATGTGATTTAGGTCCGCAGGACATTTGTTATTGAAAATGGTTTACATAGGACCGGAATTTGCTGTAAATTTGGAATATGTGTTTCCTGTATGTAGGAAACGACCATGCAAAGAACTGTACATATAGGTCCAAGTTTTGATATATGGCTGTATATTCGGTATTTTGATAGTAACATACCACTCTATATTCATTATTTTGACGATTTTAGCCACACTTTTCACCAGAATTATTTTAAATTCGGAATTTGCTATGGGCACAAACCTTCTCAGACAGATAATTGGCTGTATAACTGTAACACCTTATATTCCGAATTTTTAAAATTATAGCGCCATTTTCAATTTGCAAATTTCTAGTGGCCAGGCCTAAGTTCGCCTATGCTTGCTTTTTCTGAATATTTTAGAGGTCTGAATTTTAGAAAAATTGTTCACTGAATTAATCAGAATCAGTTGTAGATTTAGATTTCCTCCGAATATTGTTTCATTTTTTTTTTCTAAAATATGGTGGATTTTTGATTATATTTTTAAAATTAAAGTTTTGGAGCTGCGAAGCAATAATCTTAATTTTTTTTTATCAATGTTTTTCATAGATTTTTCGAATAATTTTTTTTTTTGTTCAGATCGTGGATTTTTCAGAATATATTATAAAAACCTATCAAACCTCTTACAGCTAAAAATTTTATTTTTCATTAAAGTTTTTCAAAGATTTTCAAAGTTATAATCGTTCATTTTTAAGGATTTTTTCCAAAGAGCTTCCAATGCTAAAATTCTGGATTTTTTTTTAATATATTTTTTTAAAGACTTCAGAACAAATTCCAGATTCCATAGAATATTTTTTTTTTTGATTTTGGTTTGGTTTTTTTAAGAATACTTTTTTACGGATTATTGAACTTAGAATAGTAAAGTCGTCGAGGGTTTTTCATAGCTATAAAAGTTAAATTTCCAAATTTATAAAAAATGTCTCAATTCTCGGACCTTTTTCAATTTTTACTAGTCCTCAGATAAGAATATTGTACTGGAGTTCCTTAAAATCTATATTTTTCCGGTTTATGCTTCTGCAAGTTTAATTTTAATTAATTTAATTTAATTAATTAATTTGTGAATTATATTTCGAATTTTTTTTAATACTTTCTATAGATCTAAGGATTCTTTCTACATACGTTTCTCAGAAAGTATATGTTTAATTGCCTCAGACCTGAATTATGCACATTTTGTAAATAACTATCGGACAGATATAATACGAAATATCAAAATATACAATAACAATACAATACCTACAATACAATACCTATGGCAGCTTCATAATTGAATATCTGTTAAAATTTTCTTGAATATTCCAAAGTATTTCATAAGCATTATAAATCAAAAGGTTTTCCGATCTAGGACCAAATTTTCACATTCGATATTGACTAAATTTCGATAATCTATCTAATAGGTTCTTCCGAAATTTTCAATTAAATCGAGGTAAAATCACATTTAAATAGCTATTTCGAACGATTTTTTTTTCAATGTCAATATTGAATTCTAGAATTTGGCCAATAATTTTTTATTCGAATTTTTATAGCCAATTGTTAGTAGTTCGCCATTATGAAAGTTAAATGCAGGCTGTGTAAGCATATGCATTGCCATCGTCAGTCTTCTAAGCTGCGGTTTCTCAACTTCAGAATCCTACACATAATATTAAGCTTGTGTTTCTCTATCTCGAAAACCTTGGAGGAAAAGCAGAGAGTTAAACACATTTTCAATTGGGTCCTTTTTTTGATATTCTTAATTAAATTATATACTTATAATTCTCTTTACTCAAAAATTTCTAAAAAAATCTAAAATAAAATATTTTATCGTAAATATTTCCAAAGCCAAATAAAAGCCACATAAAAAGGCAACAGAATATTGCAAAATACAGTACAGAGAGAAAAGGAGAGAAAGAAAAAGAAATGAACAAAATTTAGATAAATACAACGAATTGAGTTTGTTTCATATGTACCTTTTTAATAGATTTTGAACAAGATTATTGATTTGATTGATTTTGAGAGAGATATTGACTGATTTGGATTTATTTGGGGGGAGATATCGAACAATGCTTTCTGTTACTGATTTGATTTTTGTTTTTGGTTGGACGCTATATCTTTTTTTGGGTGGTTGTTGGTAAATGTATGTTTGGTTGGTAGTAGAGGTTGTTTGGTAGGTAGGTGGTTGTGGTGGTGTTGGTGTGGCGTGACGGCGTTTTACTTTTTTTCTCAGTGTATTTTTTTTTTTTTAAGGTAACCAATGTTTTTCTGAGTGTAACGAACGAACGTGGACTTTGAATGACGAATGATTGATTTTTTTCCTCAAAAAAAGCAATACCTGCTTGCTTTTCTTTCTTTTGATTGGTTTAGAAAAAAACTCCTTAAAATCTTAAAAAATATTGAATTAAATTCAAGAAAAATGCAATAACACATAGCCCATAGGTTTCGTTTTTTTTTGTAAAAAAATGCATTTAATGCTTGAAAAAAGGTTCCTGGTGAACCCTCTGAAGCCTCTTGGTTAGCCGAAGCTCTTTACTACTAAGCTCCAAGAACCTGTTTTCTTAATTGTTTTCTCTTATGCCAGTAATATATACAACTACATACTACTATTTGTGTGTGTGTTTCCCACAATAGACTGTAATCCTACAGAGTATTTTATCCCTGGTATCCCTTAGCCTCACTTAACTACGCCTTCTTCCATCGACTGACCGACGATTCCCTCGACTGTCGAAAACATTCGGGACTTTTACTGCTACGCAAGAAGATCTCCGGTGATTCTGTCACACGAGCGAGGTCTCGATTTATGGTCTTGGAACTAAGCACACGAGGACAGCGTACAGTCCAGGGACTACGGCGATTATCCTGTAGGGATCTCAGAGATCTGGGTTCCGTGGCCTCGGAGGGCTTATTGGCATTGGACCAGGTGTTATAATAGTCGGCATATGATTTATCTTTCTTGTTATCACTAGGTGTCATGGCCGGTGTGGAATCCACGGAAGTGTTCTCCAAAGAATCGAGTTCCTCTTCCAATACCCTCTTGGCGGCGGCCTGCAATTTTTCCATGGGCAATTTGCGCAAATGAGTGCTATCACTTTTCAGCAGCAGACTTTGGACCAATTCACTGACCAGCTGATCACTGACCGCAGACTGTTGACTGGTTGGCTGATCCAGAATTGGTGAGGCCGGACTATTGGGTGTGGAGGGATTATCTGCATCAATACTGGTATTCTTGCGCAGTGGCAAAGAAAGGCGTTCCCGGCGCTGAGACATGGTCTCCACCTCGGCCAGGGCATTGGGATTTTGTTTGCGTGTAATACTAACATTGTGTACCACCTTCCTACGACTGGGTCTCAGCTGAAATTCATCAACATCTTTGTTGTCGCCATTATTTTCCTCCAAGGCATCAGGATCATCCTGCAGCAGTTTGAAGAGACGTGAATGCGTGGCAGCCCTTTGATATGAGGACATTTTGCGTAGCTCTGGGAAACTTCCCGACTCGGTTTCAGTTTCGGAAAGTTTATTCATATCCGTAACACCCGAGTCATCTTCTTCGATTTCCGACTCGGAACGTTGGCTGGAACTGTTGCGAGACAAAGAACTACGTCTCACCGCAGAGCTGTTGCTATCCACCGACAGTTTTTGTGGATTGGTAATACTGTTGCGCCTAGAGTCGGGAGCAGTTTCGGTGCTGTTACTCGTTTCGAATACCGAAATACGATCGCGCACCGAGACCTTACGTTCCTCATAGAACTTGGTAACCTCCAAATCGGGCAGGCCATTGGCCAGACGCTTGAGAGTGGGTTCCACATAAACCTCAGGCAAATCAGAGCTTGGAGACTTGGCAGCAGCAGCCGCCTTGAGTTCCTTGGACTTGCCTTTGGGAGATTTACTTTTACTCTTGGCCTTGACTTCTTTCTTGGGTGGTTTCTTAACCTTCTTTCCTTCTTCCTTGCTATTGTCATCCTTTACACTATCCTCATCAGATTTCTTGGAGGATTTTTCTGTCACATTTTCTGTTTTCTCTTTCACCTCCTCCTTGGGTTCATCCACGGAATTGGTGAAGAAGGCCTTGGCCTGCCTAAAGTTTTTACGTTTTGTCTCCAAGTTGTCGCTCTTCTCTTTGTCTAGCGAGGAACTTCTGCTCTTTTCAATTTCTGCCCAGAAATCAGGTTCTTCTTTTGCCTGCTGGGCTGGGACTTTTTCTTCCATTTGATTTTCTTGCATGGAGCTGGGTGCCCATATGGAGGCCTGGACTGGTTCATGTACCGAAGCCAAATCCATTACACTGTCATTAATGCCATCCCGGGCATCAGCTTCTTGAGGTATTATCTCCTCAAATTCTTGGGCCAATTGCTGTTCTTCTTCCACCTGGGGATCCACAATAATTGGTTCCTCTCCCTTGTGGGCCTCTAAGGTGGCCCAGATGTTAATATCTTCCTTAATGGGTTCATCGGGCAATCTGGCGGCAAAAGGTTTTGGTAGCACTGGTTTGTGGGGAGTTTCATCTGCAGAATTCCGACGATCTCTGGATGCCCAAAATGTGGCTGCCCTTTCAAAGGTGACCTCCACATCATCCGGCAGACGATTGGCCTCAATTTCTGCCCAGAAATCAATTTCTTCATCGGTATCAACTTCCCGGGGCTCTTCAGGATATTTGAGGGGGTCAAAGGACTGATTTGTTGTTTCTTCGATGGGCTTTTCAATTTCGTTTTCTTCCGCCATAATTTCGGGTACCTCGTCCCTGGGAGAGGGTTCTTCAAAGGATTTTTGCTTGGACTCCTCAATTTGGGCCCAGAAATCAATTTCTTCTTCCTCATCCTTCTCCTCGACGTTCTCCTCTTTGACTTCTATCTCTTCCTCGGATTCTTCCGGCTCCGGTTCCTCTTGAGTGTGCAAAGTTGCCCTCAATGCCTTGGCCAGTTCATCAATGCGATGTCTGAGAACCAAGGGAGAATAAAGGATCTCGGTAATGCTTTCAGCTCTCGGCTTCTTTTTGGGGGCCTTTAATTGGGACCAGAAATCGTTGGCCTCCTTGGCCACAGAATCGGAAACCTTATTGGCCTCTGCCACCGAAGACCAGAATGAGTCCTTGGCACTTTGCAGGGAATCCAGTTTTTTGGAAAGATTGTTCACAGCTGGCAAATCGTCGTCACGATCAGCCCAAATGTCCTCAATATCGTCCTCTTGGACCACAGAGGTTTCCAAAGTATCGGACTTTTTAACTTCCAAGGATTGTTCCTCCTTAATATCGGAGGCTGCTGGAGAAACCTCCTTCGCCTTAGTTGTGTCATCCATTTGAGTTTCTGTTTCATAACCCGACGAGGATTTCGAATATTTATCCCAGTACATAAGTTTCCGTTCTTTACGTATAACCAAATCATCATCCCGATCACCCCAAATATCATCGATTTCTTCCTGATTCTGGTCTTGGCTATTTTGGGAATCGGTTTTTGAAGAATTACTGTCCCAAGAAGTGGAGGGGGATTTGCTGTTGCATTCAACGTCGGTTTGAGGTTCTGCAGGCTTGGAGGGTGTTTCCGGAGCCACTTCAGCTTTGTTGGCACTCGTTTTGTTGTTGGTCGAATATTTGGACCAGAAACTGGTGCGAGCCTTCAGGTCATCTTTGAATTCTGGAACTTTGGGGAGTTCTATTTTCGGCTTCTGGGTAACTTTGGGTACCTCTAAGGGTTCATGGGCTTTGAAGCTAGTTTGAGTAGATTCTTGGGGCTCCTGGGATTTGAAGCTAGTTTGAGTAGATTCTTGGGTTTTCACCTCTTCCTTGCGTTTAGGTTTCTCTGTGGATTTAATTTCGACTTTAGGGCTCTCGGATTCCCCACTTTGGGAGTTTTCCCCTCCCGTCTTCTCTTCCTCATTGCTGTTCTGACTTGAGGGCTTACCCCAATAATTGGCCGATTCCTCCTTAATTTTCTGGGCCTGCATTTTTGTGGCCATCAGCGTGGCAAAGAAATCAAAGTTGGATGTGGATTTCATCAAATCAATTTTGGGTTCTTCTTGGGGCTTAGGTGGCTCCTCTTCCTTCTTCTCAACCTCCTTAATCACCTCTTGCCTCTCCTGGGCAATATTATTTGTAATGTCTCCCTTCAGAGTTTGATCCACAAATTTATTGCGCTTATTCAACGATATCGAGAAGGAAACATCCTCCTGGCTGGATTCAATTTTAGGCAATGCCTCTTCGGGCAGTGGCATTTCATCTATGGGATATTTGGCAGAATTATTCCGATGCTCTGAGTCCAGGGAACCGGAACGAGAAGATCTGGGCAAGGATATGGTGACACTGACATCACAAGAATCATCTTCTGCATCGGAGTCTGTTTCCACGGTGGCCACACTGAAGGAGGTGAGGGGATTATCATTGGAGCTTGGGGACTTTTGGGGCTCCTCCACTAGGGAATTGCCCACCACCAGGGTGGTAATGGGTGCCGTGTCAGCTGTTAATTTGCCAAACGAAAATTTCAAGGGCAAACGAACTGTCACCGAGTTGTCTTCTTCCTCTGGCTTGGTTTCCTCCTCCCCGGAATTTTCTTCAATACACGCCTCCAGTTCATCCAGCTTCTTGGTGGAGGGTTTACCATAATCGCTGGACTTATCATAATCACTTTCCTCCTCATAGATGACACTTAGATTGTCCTCCACAATGAATTCCTCACATTCCGACTCCACTTCTTCGTGTAACTCTTCCTCGACTTCCTCCTCTTCCTCTCCTTCGCCTTGGTGTTCATAGACAAATTCAATCTCCTCTATGTCTTCGTCAAAGACATCACTCTCACCATCGGCAGTGGTGGCATCATCATCATCTTCAGAATCTTCCGATTCCTCCTCCTGATCCAGTTGCTGATTCTTCAGCTTATTGTAAAACTGGATATTGGTCACCGAACGAATTGCCTGTAGCGGGACGGAACCTTCCTTACCCAAACGTGTATCATATTGTTTTGTGGTGGCATCTGAATCTGCCGAGGATTCCGAAGAATCAGAATCTTCGGCTGCGTCCTCCTCTTCCTCAACCATTGAAATGTGGATGGGAGAGGTGTTATCGTCGGGAGATTTCTGTTCGAAATATTTTTCATAGGTTTTGCGGGGTGACTGCAGAGAGGAATCCAAATTATTTTCCATGGTTTGGGAGAGATTCTGCAAATGTTGGGTCAAAATGTCCACAATGGAACCATCGACTTGCTTGGGCACGGAGGATTTCTCACTTGTGACATCTTCAATGTCCAGGGAGGATTCTCGCTGCTTGGGAGATTTCTCCTTTTCCACTTTAATGTGGTGCTGCATTATGACCTTCGAAGGGACATCATCGGTACTGGGTGTTATAATTATGTCTGGCAACACTGAACTGGCCCTACTGGAACAGGCCGAGGATTGGCTGTAACTGGGAGCCACGGGGTAGGGATATGAATGATAGGGCGGCGGAGGTGGCAAATAGGGGGCATATATATTTTGTCCATCAAATTCTGTGGAACTTGAGGGAGTTGCTGGGAATGGTGGGGGAGGAGGAGCAGGAATGGGATAGTAAGGATAATAATAGGGATATGGGGGATATGAGGGATGGGTTGTGGATTGTTGCGATTCGCCATTCGGTGTTGCAGGTGGCGGTGGAGGTGGTGGCATGGCATAGGGGTAATACCAACTGGGATTGGTATTGCTTCCTGTCTCACTGCCACTTTGTGAGGGCGACGGAGACATGGCATGGACAAATGGCCAGATTGGATTACCGGCACTGTCACAGGCCGGCGGTGGGGGATACCAGGGATATGCATAGGGATATGGGTAGGGAGCATAACCTAAGGGGGCTTGTGTTGGTGGTGGTGTGGGACCTGAACATATTGAATCTGACGAACTCAGCGAGGACAACGAGGTTGAGCTCACCGGTTCGGCAGAGGAGGTATTACAAGATTCTACATGAAAATCAGATTTCGACTCATCATTCATCTCTTCGTCGTTGCACTCTATTGAATTTGTTTCTAGATCACCTAATAAACGTTTTTATTTTCAAATTTAAATATTTCAATATTATTTTGACGCCATTTTTTCGTGTTATTTTGTTTCGTTATGTTTGTGTTTTTTTTTGTTTTGGTGCGAAAATAGTACAGCAGGGGGGGAAAAGAGAGAAGAAAAAAACAAAGAAAAAAATGAAACATTTTAATCGATGATGTGCGAATCTATTTTGAAAATTTTGACACAGTACAATACCAAATTGTCGAATGTGAGACGAACGAAATGTGCTGTGACTTGTTGTGAGGGAAACGAACGAATACGAATCGGTTTGTGAATGTAATTTTGAGGAGACGTGGTGAACATGAAAATGCTCTGCATGTGTATATGTGTGTGTGTGTGATGTGGTATGAAATAAGCCAGCCGTCGTTTGATTTTAATCCATTTAGGATGATTTCCGTGATTGAAATTTCAAGTGAACTGTGATTCAAATCCGAAAATTGTATTAATTTATTTTTCATATTTTGAATAAGTCCCAGAGATGTTCTTCTTATTTCTCGTCCCTTTCAAAAAGGGGGGTTGAGTAGCTCCACCTTTCACTGCTTCTGTGCTAGAGGTTTCGAGGGAAAATTCAGATGATAACAATATCTTCATTTGGAAAAATCAATGGTCTTGGCCTGATGACTTAGAAATTGTGGGGGGAAATCAGACTTAAGTACCGAAAAATGTCTGCAAGAATTGCTAGATCCAAATAATTTTTAATATATTTCTCTTCGGATTCATGATATAATAAATTTAGGGGCATTGAAAAAAGACGAACGAAAGGTGAATTTTATAATTTTTTGCTATAAAAAAATTACTTCTAGTCCGCGTCGGGTTTACACATGTTTCCATGAAAAAATCTAAAACAATCTTTGAAAATCATCTCAAGAGCCGATCAAATTAAGATCTGATGTTTTTCGTATTAATATTTGTCGGTCGTAATGGGAGCAGGACATTATTAAGAGCAATTATAAGTGGAAAGTTTTCCAAACATAAGAATAGGTTTCTTCAGGATATAGGACAATCTTAACAGGAATTCTGGGCAAAAGATTTTACAAACATAAAAAGAAGTTTCTTCGGGATATATATAAGTCCCCTAAGGGACTCTTTACTATTTTTATTAGAAATTAGTGGCAATTTAATGCCCCAAATTGCCATAGAAAATTGCAGCTAGGGCCTTGGGAATTTTTTTTCATCACCGGTCCATAAAATACTTGGATCTCTGTAACAAAATTTTCAATCCCAGTGCTCAGGGTTTTTTTTTTTTTGGAGGACATCAAATCTCAAGGACTTTTCACCAAATATTTTTTTATGGAAATAAGAACATTATTAATGCTAATAAGGAGTAAGTTTCATAAAATTTTGGAATATTTTTCAGGGCGATTTTATCGTGAATTTTTAAGAATAATTTTCATGAAGTGTAAAAGTATTATTCAGGACATAGAAGCCCTGTGAAGTGTCTCTTATTCATAGAAGAGCCGTACAAGATTTTATATCAATGGAAAATCTGTAAAAAATATTCCATATACTAGGGATCTGCCCTTCTTAAAAAGAACTGGTCGTCTATTTTTAGAAGATCGTACGACATCTTTAGGGGGACATCTGTAGAGATTTAACAAAAGTAGGACACATTTAAAAGGTAATCTATCTGCAGAAAACCTCAGAGGCAACTACTGTAAAGTACTGACCTGTAGTATATTCAGACTTTACTGGGTACAACCTTGCAGTAACAGCTAGGACTTTGAGTCCTCTGCTGAAGACTAGGTGGCGTAAGTGACCAATGTTGCTGAGCAGTATTGTAGCAGGGGCTCATAAGTCTCTGCTTAAGAGTAGCTGGGCATCAAAGGACACTACAGAGGAGTAGCAGGGCTCATAAGTCTTCGCTGAAGAGTAGTTGGGCATGAGAGGGCAATACCGACGAGTAGCAGGACCTCAGTAACTACTACTAATAAGGCCAGCTACTGTAGTGTACTCTGCTGGGGAGTAGCTGACCTAAGAGTCCTTTGCTGAAGAGTAGCTGGCCATAGAGCCATCTTCTGTGGAGTAGGTAGGCCTCAGACACCTCTACTACAGAAATGCTGGGCCTAAAAGCCACTACCGTAGAGTAGTAGCGCCAGAGGACACTACCGAAGAGTAGCAGGAGCTCAGCAACTACTACTGTAGTGGCCTCTGCCGAAGAGTAGCTGGCCTAAGAGTACATTGCTGAAGAGTAGCTGGCCTTAGAGACCTCTTTTGAAGAGTAGCTAGGCCTCAGAAACCCTTGCTGTAGTGTAGCTGTCCTCAGAGACCACTACTGTAGAGAAGCTGGGCCTAAAAGCCAATACCGTAGATTAAAAAGCCTCTGCGGAAGAGTATCTGGCCTCAGAGACCTCTGCTGAGAAGTAGCTGGTCTCAGAGGCCTCTGCGGAAGAGTAGCTGGCATCAGAGACCTCTGCTGTAGAGTAGCTAATCACAGAGACATCTCAAATACTTTTCAAAAATGTTTTTTTTATGGACATAGGAACATTTTTCATAGAATTTAAGAATCATTTTCATGAATTTTAGGAATGTTTTCTAGGGTAATTTAACTGTGGAAATTCAAGACTAATTTTCCTAGGAAAGTAAGAATATATTTCAGGCAAAATTGAAGGGGGTTTTACAAATTTTTGCAGGAAAATTTCATTTCACATTTTTAAGAAAAGCTTTCATGGAATTTAGGAACATTTTTCACAATATTCAATTGTTTATTTTTTTAGTATATTTAAAAAACACGCTTCCTATTAATTCCTTGACTGAAGCCTCTACTGAAGAGTAGCTGATCTCAAAGGCCTCTGCTGAAGAGAAGCTGATCTCAAAGACCTCTTCACATCTCAAATACTTTTCAAAAATGTCTTTTTATGGACATAGGAACATTTTTCATTACTTTTCATAAAATTTAGGAATTTTTTCCAAGGTCATTTAATAGTGATTTTTTAAGAATAATTCTCATTGGAAATTAAAAATATATTTCAGGAAAAATTAAAGGGGGCTTAAATAAAATTTTGCAGGAACATTTTATTGCGGAGTTTTAAGATATGCTTTCGTGGAATTTACGAACATTTTTCACAATATTCAATTGTTTATTTGTTAAGTATATTTTAAGAAACTGTTTCCTATTAATTCCATTACTGAAGCCTCTACTGAAGAGTAGCTGATCTCAAGGCCTCTGCTGTGGAGTAGCTGATCTCAGAGACTTCTTCATCACATCTCAAATTCTTTTCAAAAATGTTTTTTCATGGACATAGGAACATTTTTCATAGAATTTAAGAATACTTTTCATGGATTTTAAGAAAATTTTCCAGGGACTTTTAACTGTGGATTTTTGTATTTTTGAAGCATATTTTAAGAATACGTTTCCTATTAATTCCTTGACTGAAGCCTCTACTGAAGTAGCTGATCTCAGAGATCTCTTCATCACATCTCAAATACTTTTCAAAAATGTCTTTTATAGACATGCGAACAATTTTCATAAAATTTATGAACACTTTTCATGGAATTTAGGAATTTTTTCTAGGGTAATTTAATTGTGGATTTTTAAGAATAATTTTCATTGGAAAGTAAGAATATATTTCAGGAAAAATTTTGAAAGGGCTCTAAAATATTTTCCTGGGACATTTTATCTCATAGTTTTAAGAAATGCTTTCATGAAATTTAGGAACATTTTTCACAACATTCTCTTGGGAATTTTTAAGAATATTTAAGGAACATCTTTACGAGACATTTAATAATGCAATAATAATACTCCTCAATAGTTCTATGGAATTAAGGAATATTTTCCCACTGTTCAGGAAGGGATATTGGAGGGTATTTTGAGATAATAGATTATCTCCTTTAGAATTGTATTGACATTTAAACCTATGTTTCGTCGGCTTCAAACTCATTTTTAGGGCATTTAATTGAGAATCTTTAAGAATAGCTAACATGGAATAAAAACTTGCTTATCTGGTTTATTTCATCGTGGAAATTTTAAGAATATTTTTCATAGAATTAAGAATATTTTCATTGAAATTAAAAATATTCTATTTTAAGGAACGTCTTCTTTAGAGTTAGATTGAAATTTCACACTGCTTTTCGTGGAGTTTAAATATATTTTCTGGACAGATTTAAAAAAAAATTTTCGGGTTTTATTTTATTGTAAATCTTAGGAATATTTTTCGTGGAATTAAGAATATTTTTCATTAAATGTGAGTATATTTTTCTCATCATTTTTGTTATTTCGCTCCTAAAAAATACTGAACAGCAAGTCAAGCAAAGGGCCTGATGTCCCCAATATTACCTAGGCTTAGAATAATTTTTTCAAAAGGTATTGTTTTTGAAAAATTTCCGGAGTTATCTTACATGGTTTTAGAAAATTTAGTTTTTAGGTCATGCTGTTTTTATATATTGTTCGGAAATCCCGATCTTTACAAGGAAGTTTTTTTTTTTTTTTTTTTTTGTAATTGACACTTAAGTACAAACATGCATTAAAATCCGTAAATTAATTTTCATTAAATTTTTTTTTAGTAAAAAAAAAAAAAAAAAAAAAAAAAAAAAAAAAAAGAAAAAAAATCGATCCCAAATGGATTAATAATCAAAAGAAAAAAGTAAAATAAAATAGATGTTGGCATATGAGCTAAACATGGAAATGAAATCAATGTATATTTATATGTATATATTTTAATATATAGAACAGAAAATTATATTAAAATTATAAAAATAATCAGCAAACATAATGAAAAAATAAAAAATGTAATAGATTTTTCTATTTATAAAGAAAAGTTGCATATTTTTTTTTTTTTGTAAAAAAGGTGAAATTTTCACTTTTTGTGGAAAGGTTGGACACTGAAGTTTATTTTCAGGCTCTTTCCCTTTTCCATCTCACTAACCTAAGCTAAACTTATTAAAAATATTATATTAAATATAAAAAATATAAAAATAAGAACAAAAGTTATGATGAGAAATAATGAGCGATATTTACAAATGAGCTAAATTAGATTTGTGAGTGTTGGTTTGGTATGTCAGGTGGGTGGGAGAGAGTGTTTTTGGGTTGGTATGATAAACGAAACTTGGAAAAATATATTGAATATTTATAGAAATAAAATTCTTGTGGTTTTTACAAAATTGTATTTTTGTGTAAAAATTGTATTATTTTGATTAAATGATGAAAGAAACGTGTTTGAGGAAGTTGAGTTTCTGTTGTAGTATATTTGAATGTAGAAATCTTGTTATTTGAATTAGATTTTTAAAACTTACCAGCATTTTCTGGCTGTGTCATGGCTTGTAAAATTTTAAATGATCGACTTGGTATAGCGCTACCGGTATATTTTTTCGGCTCGGGTACATGTTGTTCACTGGGTGGTATATAATCTGTAATGTGAAAGAGAGTTTTTTTAAATATTTTTCTTAAGATTGTAATGGAAATTTTTAAGGCCAAGGATTTCCTTAGGGTCATTCTAAATATCGTTTAATTTTCTAGATATATATTTTTTTCTGGGAATATTGAATTCAAAAAAATATTTTTAAGTACTTTTTTCAATGTGTACATAATTTTGTGTGCGGTTGAAGCACTGGGAAAATCATACAATTTAAATCTATATTCTAAAATTGTATATATGCTCAGTAAGAGACCACTTGAATGTAGGGACGAGCATCCTTGCAAGGTGTTCTATTCCATGCGTGAATAGATAAGAACTATTGTATAGGGGCGATTAGGTTAAGAAGAGATTAGTTAAAGTAGTTCTTAAGTGAAGTTATTTATCAATAAAATCAGATTTGGAACCACACCTCCGAAAAACTTGCTTAAATTTGTACAAAAAGTGAAATTCACTCGAATTCGAGCGGGAGTGTTCGTGGAGCAAAAGAGAAAAAAGAGTATACTAAATTTTTCAATGGCGCTCGAATAGGAGTTGGAATATTTTTTTGTTTGTGAGTAGGCGCGAATTTCGTTTGATATCGAGCAAGTTTTACTCTTGCCGAGCACTCTTTTAGTTTTTGCCATACCACTGCTGTATTTCAACACATGAGTATGTTTTCTGTACCCTCGTCCCCGTATTCCCGCACACACAAGTCAGGAAAAAAAAATTGTTTCCACTTTTCACTCGTAAAAAAACTCTTACTCTATTTTGAGCGATTCTGCTCTCAATCTCATTTTCCAAACATATGTAACTCGGGAGCGCTTTCACATAAACAAAAAGAGTGATAAGTAGACTCCGTAAAAAACTCCCACTCTTCGAGAAATCTTGCTCGCGAGCAAGTTTCGCTCCAGAGTGAAAATGAGCAAATTTGTGCTCTCTTTGAAAATGAGTCTGAACTGAGCGTTTGATTTCTCTTCTCACTTTTACTCAATGACTAGTTGAATATTTCGTATATTTTTAAATGTCAAATTGATCTGGTCTTTAATTTTTATACACTCAGCTATTTGGCTAGAGAGGGTATATATCCTTTAATACGGCCAAAACGTGCTTCATCGAAATAACGATTTTAGGCCCTAAGTCTCTTTAGGCCAAATCTATTTCCGGACATTGGAAGTAGACCTAGCGATGGCCGTCCGTCCCTGGCTCATCGAAATAACGATTTTAGACCTTAGGTCTCTATGGACCAAATCCGTTACAGGATCTAGCGAAGTTCGTCCGTCCGTAAGTCTGTCTGTCTCTCTGTCTGGCTGATGCGCACCATAACTCTCGAAGGGAGTATCCGATTTGATTTAAACTTGGTGCATCGTAATATCATTGTCAAACTTAGATCGAGTTCGGAGATGGGCAATATCTGTCCATTCCTTCTGGTACCTCCCCCACAAAATTTCAATATTTTTAATGAATATAATTATCTGCACAGAAAGGGAAAGGATAGTCCGATTTTGCTCCAACCTTGCAAATCTTAATATTTGCATCAATCCGGTGCGAAAATAGATATTATCGGCCCGCTCCATCAAGTACCTCCCCAGCAAAGGGTCAAAATTTAAAAAAATACAACTCTTATAAATTATGATGTAAGAGTCCGATTGTCTTCATATTTCACACATCACAATATTTTTATCAACCCAAGGTCTGGTATTAAGATGGAATATACCGGTCCGCTCCTTCTGGTCCCACCCCCACAAAAGATCGAAATTTTCAAAATATATATTTTCTGCACAGAAAGAGAAAGGATAATCCGATTTCTCCCCAACTTTGCAAATCCTAATATTTGCATGAATGCTAGGTCAGGTGCGAAAATGGACACTATCGGTCCACTCCATCAAGTACCTTCCCCACAAACGGTCAACATTTTAAAATATTACAACTCTTATAAAATATGATGTAAGAGTCCGCTTGTTTTCAAATTTCCCACATCCCAATATTTTTATAAACCCAAGGTCTGGTGTGAAGGGGGAATATATCGATCCACTCCTTCTGATACCTCCCCCACAAAAGATCGAAATTTTCAAAATATATATTTTCTGCACAAAAAGAGAAAGGATAATCCAATTTCCAACTCAAATCTTGCCAATCCTAATATTTGCATGCAGGTGCGAAAATGGACAATATCGGTCCCCTGCATGAAGTACCTCCCCCACAAAAGGTCAAAATTTTGAATAATTATAACTTTTTTTTAAAATGTGATGGAAGTGTCCGATTGTCTTTAAATTGCACACATCATAATGTTTTTAGTAACACAAGGTCTGGTGTGAACCCCACCTTCCCCACAAAGGGTCAACATTTAGAGTATCCATTAAGCTCATAAAACGCGAAATTAACATCCGATTCCATTCAGACTTGGCACATCTCAATATTTCCATCAACACAAAATCTGTTGTAAAGATGGTAGATATCGGACCATTCCTTCTGTTACCTTCCACACAAAGGGTCAAAGTTTTGAATAACAAAACGCTCATAAAATCCGAAATAAGAGTCCGGTTCTTTTTAAATTTCGCACATACTATTATTTCTAATAACGCAAGATCTGCTGTGAAGATGGGATATATTGATCCACTCCTTCTGGTTCCTCCCCCACAAAGGGTCAAAGTTTAGAATAACTAAAACGTATATAAAATCTGAAATAAGCATCCGGTTCTCTTCATATTTCACACATCTTAACATTTTCGATAACACAAGATCTGTTATAAAGGTGATAAAGATAGGACCATTTCTTCTGGTACCTCCCCTCAAACGATTATAAAATCCCAAAAAGGCATCCGGTTCTCTTCAAATTTCGCACACCCCATTATTTCTACTAACACCAGATCTGCTGCGAAGATGGGATATATCGGCGCACTCCTTTTGGTCAATAATTTAAGAGAAGTCAAAAAATATTTTAAAATAATCGAACAGTGGCTGAGGGTATACATCTGTAGGCATAACCGACTGATACTTTTTTACTTCTTAAAGATCAATTTGATCTCGACTTGGATATTTTGTTTTGGAATTTTTAATAATTACCATTGTTGGTGTTGTAAAATGGTCGTGGCTGCTGATTGAATTGAGAAGGCGTTTGTGGCGTTGTATTACCTGAAACGACAACAAAAGAATTGAAAAATAATATTGAATTATTGCATTTCAATTTTATTCCTCGAAAATTTCACCAACACTTGTATTAATTCTTATTTTTATTTAGTCCTGTTATTTTGTTGTTTAAGTTATTAATTAATTGGTTTTTAATATTATTTTAGTAAATTATTTAGTGGATTATTTAATCCTTATCTTTTTAACGGCAGCCAAGGCTTTCCAAAAAAAGAAAACTGTAAGCTCATTTATGAAAGCTATGGAATGAAGACAAATGAAAACGAAAAGTTTATTCTAGGAACTCGACAAGGCACAATTCTCTCTCGCTCTCAGACAGATCACAAAAACTGCTAAGATTCTTTACATTTTGGGTCCTGGTTCCATAAGTCGAACGAAAAGTTACATTTTTTCAAGCCTTGAGACGAGACGGGATCTAAAAATTGTAATATTCTGTCTATAGTTCCCAAAGAGAAGCCATTCTAATAAAAAACTCCTTTGGTACACCTTTCGTTCGTCTTGCAATTCGTTCGACTTAGAGAAACAGGCTTCGATATCCAATTTATTCTCTTCCAATTAAATTCCTCTCTTTCCCTCTCTCCCTAGCCACATCTCTTTTGATTTTTTTTTGGTTTTTCTCTTACCTTGTTCTTGTCCAATTTTCATGCGTCTCATTTGCTCAACAGTTGGACTATTGCGCGCCTGTTGGGCGCTCATTTGCCGAGCAAATGTCGGACGCTGTAATTGTGGTTCGGCATCCATGTAACTATCGTTACGTTGCTGATTTCCTGACTCATCGCTATTGCCATCATCGATAGTGTCTGTGATTTTTTGCAAAATTCTAAAAGATTTCGATTGTACGGGCGGTGTACGCAGATCGCTAGAATTAAGAATTAGTTTTGGATGGATGAGTTTCGAGAGTTGTTTTGATGAGGGGCGAATGAATGAATTTGGAGGGGTAAATGGTGATTGATGTTGTTTTCGATGATGGGAAAGAAAATATGAGATAAGATTAGATTCCAGGTCCAAAGCAAAGGTTTTCCAAACAACAAACGAAACAAAAAAAATAGAGAGAGGTTAGTCAAAATTTAGTTGTTAGCAGCCACAAACAGGAGAAAAGAAATTTTGAAAAAAAAAATCAGAGCACAAAAAATGAATGAAGTCTAAAAAATCACATTTAAGGAGATTATTCAAAAAAGAAAACATTTTCGCTGGGTTTCTGTATGTCGAACGAAAACCAGAATCGTAGTTCAAAGTTCTTCCTCCGTTTTCATTTAGATAATTTCATTCGCAAATGTAGCAATCGCTGAGATATGAAATCAATGGAAATGGGGAAACACGAACTCAAATCTCAAATGGAGAGTCAGTTTTCGTACGAATTGGTTATCGTTCGACATTCAGAAATCGACTCTTAACTTCGATTACAATAACACATTTAAAACGCGGAGTGTGGGGATATTAGTGTGTCCGGCCTTGTCTTAGAGACCAAGAAAAAACATTCGCCATAGAAAGATACGTCCAAGGACACTATTACAGATTGTAAGCAGAGTCTCAATATTTTCCCTTCGAAAAGAATTTATCTTCTCTTCAGGAACTTCGTGGATTTCGATATGACCCTTTTAACAAACTTAAAAAAAGATGTTCTCCTGGAAATTAATTCTCGGAAAGAAAATAATTTTTGAATAAGTCGAAGCAATAATTTTATGTACATTCGACATTGGAGAATATTTTGCAATCAATCTAGGAATATTTTTCGTAAATTAAGGGAAAGTTTTCTTAATATATTACGTCATTTCATCTTGGATTTTTGAGAGCATCTCTCTAGAAATTAAAAAATAAATATCATGGAATTTAAAATTATTGTTCTGGACATATTTACAAAGAAGAAGTCAAATCGGAGCATCTAAGACCGTTTTGCAAGCAATTTAGGAATATTTTTCATTAACTTTAAGAAAAGTTTTCTTAATATATATATGCCAATTTATCGAACATCTTTCATGAAATTAAAGAAAAAATATCATGGAGTTTAAAATGATTGTTCTGGATCATATGTATGTGAGGAAGTCAATTAGGAATATTTGTCATGGAATCTAAGAACATTTTTCATGATATGCAAGAATACTTTTCATAGAATATTTGTCATTTGATTGTGGATTTTTGAGAAGCAATTTAAGAATATTTTTCGTTAAATTAAGGAAAAGTTTTCGTAATATATTTATGTCAATCTATTGCTGATTTTTGAGAACATATCTCATGAAATAAAAGAGTAATTTTCATGGAACTTAAATTGATTGTTCCGGAACAATTTGTAAAGAGAAGTCAGTTAGGAACACTTGTCAGGGAATTTAAGAAAATTTTTCATAAAATGTATGAATATTTTTCATAGAATATTCGTTATTTGATTGCGAATTTTTGAGAAGATTACTGGCGGAATTAAAATATGAATCATGGAATTGGGTATATTTCTTAAGAAGAATGCATGCGTTTTTAACCGGGGACTTTTTTTAATATTATTTTACGTTAGGACATTTTTGATGAAATTTATGAATATTTTTCGTAAATTTAAAAAAAAATAAAATTTTTTTAGAGGACTGTAGGAGGTTTGTAGTTAATTCTTAAGAATATTTCCTTCTAATTTTAAAATTTTAATCATGGAATTTAAGAATACTTTTCATAAATTTTAGAATTTTAATCATGGAATTTAAGAATATTTTTCATAAATTTTAGAATTTTAATCACGGAATTTAAAAATATTTTTCTTAAAATTTAAGAATACTTTTCATGAAATCTGAAAATACTCTTCATGAAATTTTAGAGTATTTTTTTTGGAATTAAGAATATAATAACGAACAAATTAAAAGACGTCTTTTAATTCATTCGTAGATTATTTCAATATTTGGGAAGGATTTTTGTCGAATTTTGATTTTTTAGGTTGAAACGGTGGATCTTTAGAATATATTTTCTGCGATTTAATTTGTACAGTGGGAACGATAAAAATGTAGCAATCCTGGATAGTTGAACTAAAGGAAAGGATTTGATAGGACTTTTTATAACGAATTTTTGGAGAAGGACTATCAAAGATTGATTTTGGAAGGACTGTCGAATTATATGGAGAATACTTGGAAATCCTTTTTCATGCTACGATCGGAAATTTTTTTAAAGAATATTTTAGAGATGTTTTAGGGATTGCATTTGCAAGGGCTGTCGAATTTTTGGAATTTTTTTCTGAATTTTTGGAGTAATTTTTTCGACCTAAAACTCTTTTACGAAGAAACCAGTCGATGTCTTAAGCCAGTCAAAAAAGCTTCTATGTATTCTCACCTTTAGGAATTTTTAAATAATTTTTAGGGAAATGTTTTGGTAAGGACTGTCGAATGTTTCGAGTAATTTTTCAGAGAGCTACCATTTTTGAAGGTTTTTTTTTAACTATTCGTTGAGGTAGGATTATCAAAGGTTTAATAGTGGATTTTTGAAAAAAAAAAAATCAGAGAGCCATCTTACATTTTAAGGTCTGTCTTATTTAAAGGATTATTGGGAGGGATAATTAAAGCTTTAATCGTGGATTTTTGAAACGACTTTCAAATCTAAAAATTGAGGGGAGGTTTATCAAAATTGTAATTATTTTTTCTGCAATTTTTTAAGGACTTTTGGGTCGGATTATCAATCCTTTAATCCTAGATTTTTTAAAAGAATTTTCAGAAGCCTGTTTTGAGGGTGGTTTTTAAAAGGGTAGTCAAATTTGTTGAAGAATTATTTCATAGGGCTATCATAGCCATAATCATCAATTTTTAGGAATTATTGACACAAATATAAATCCTAGGTTTTTAGGCATTTTGGGCAGATTTTTTTAATGAATGTTTTGGAAGGACTGTCGAATTTGATAATTTTTTTTTTAAACTCGTGGATTTTTCAAAAATTTTTATTCAAAGGACTATCAATGATATAAGCTTAAATTTGTATTAATTTTTCGGAATACCGGAGATGGCTGCCACATGATGGACAGTTAGAGCTGACATCGTGCGGTTGTCCGAGTACTGCCTTCAAGTACTATATGAAATAATTTCCTAATGTTTTTAAAATTTTTTCAAGAACTGGGGTAGGACTTTTTTGAATATTTCTTAATGCCTTAAACAGGACACACTAATACCCCTCTATTTTTATGAAAAAATGAACGACATTACACACTGCGCCAATTTTCATTTTCCAAACACACAACAGTACATGATTTCTACCTGAGTCGATTTTTTCTAAATCTGATCTCAGCCTCAAGTGGGCAGTCGTGTACAACGAGATTATAGTCACCACTTGGATATTGGCAAGGATTGAATTATTTTAAAATATTTTTGTTAAGCATATTTACAGCAAAAAAAAAATAAATAAATAAAAGATAAAGGAACACCATTAGTATTACAGATTAAATAGAAAAAAGCTCGGTATAAGCTACAATGCCTTAGAATTAAAAAGAAAGCTTTCAAATTCGCTTTTGAAAAATAAAAAAAATATATTTCAAATCTTTACTTACTTTTGTATAACGATGGGAGTTTTGGATATGGGTCCTCGCGTACCATCACCACCCTCCATGGCAATTGGCACAATGTGAGTCCGATTGCTGCCAGCCTGTTGCTGTTGCTGCTGAACCATGCGGGGTGCATTCAGCTGTTGTTGTTGTGATTGTTGCTGCTGCATTGGCGGCGACATAACCCGTTGTGGGGTGTTTTGTACACCGAAGTTATTGTAACCCTGATCCACAAATTGATTTGGTGTACGCATAACATAGCCAGGTGCTGTGGAAGAGTTGGAGTGGGATTTTTATTATTGGCAATGGGAATTTAAAAAAAAAACGATTCCCTAATCAATCAAGGGTTCGCTTTTTTTCCTAGAGAAAAATCTGAGGCTCTGAGGAGCAGGTTCTTTAAAAATCCTCAAACCCTGTGGATAATTTTCCATAGATAATTTCTATGGAAAAATTCACAGAACCAGAGGATAACTTGTTTCTTATCATCCGGATTTTTTGGAGCAATTTTATTTTCTAGAAAAAATCCTCATTTTTTTCAATAAAAATTCTGAGGACCAGTATCTAGTTTTTTAGAATATCTAGTTTAGATGAGAGATATCGTCAAGCTTGGGACTCGCTCTTCTTCATAGAGAACAAATCTCCCCGAACCCTGAAAATGATTTGACATTCAAATTGTGTTACTCACTTCCAGTGCCTGCGCTATAGGCTGCTGGCGTAGTATTGAAATTCGGCTGTGGTGGTGTATAGGTTGGGGTTTGCTCCAATTGTATGGGAATGATGCGTTCCTGGAAAATAAAAAAAGAAAATCAGAACTCTTTTCAAATTTGAAACCTCGACTTGAAAATAAAATACCCTTGGACCACTTTGGTTGTTGGCGTTGCTGTTGTTGTTATTTTGAATCGCTTTGGTATTAATTTGCAAACGCAAACCAGCCGGAGCATTGTGTACAGCTCCGAAATTTTGAGTTGCAGGTTGTTGCTGCTGCTGTTGACCCAAAAATCCATTGCCTTGATTGTAGGGCTGTGGTTGAGATGGTTGATACAATACCGATGGTTGTGGTTGCTGTTGTTGTTGGTACAATGCTTGTGGTTGAGGCTGAGTTTGATAGGAGGAGGCTGTTGGTGGTGGTGGTGGTGACTTGATACGATTCAATGATGAAGGCACCACATTGCCATTCTCTTCGGGCCGAGCCCATGGTGGTTGCTCTGTTTGCTTGGGCTGAGAACTCATCCAACGTAGCTGTTGATTGCCGGGCTGTGGTCCACCCATTTGACGCATGGGTGAGTCACGTTGGGGTTGTTTTTGCTGCTGCTGCATTTGTTGGCGAACAATGTGTTGGGCCTGAGGCTCAACCGGGGCAGCCAATGGGGCAATGTACAAAGAACCCACGTTGGTCTGTGGAGAGTGGGGGAAGAAAGAGAAGAGAGAGGGGTTTTAATGAGGGTCATTATACATTTAAAAAAAAAAGAGGTGCCCTTCCTGAGACTTTCTCGAAGGACTTTTTCCCACAGAAAAAATGTTGGCCCTGAGGATCAATTTTTTTTATTGGAAAAACCTCACATCCTAAGACTTATCCTAGACTGATTTTTCCTACAAAAAAAAAATGATCGCAGGATCCAAAGATAATTTTTTTGCCCCAAAAATCTCCAGTCCCGGCAAATGATATATCCGCATTGAAACAAGAAATTTTTGCGAGGAGAAATATTTTACAGAAATGGGAATTATTTTTGCAGGAGGAGTATTTTTCCATTGAAGATATGTCCTGGTTTTAAAATTCAATTTTTCCAGGACCTGGACATTTTTTCTATGGGAAAAAATCATAAGACCATAGAAGAAATGTCTTGGTTCTGAAAATCCATTTATTACATGACCTACATATTTTTTTCTGTGTGAAAAAATCATAAGACCATAGAAGAAATGCCCTGGTCCTAAAAATCCATTCTTTGCAAGACCAGGACATTTTTTTCTACGGAAAAAAATCGTAAGATCCTGGGAGTTATATTTTCCTGTTGGAAAAAATTATATGCCACGAGAACAGATTTTTTCATGGGAAAAATATTTTAAAGAAATGGGAATCTTTTCTGCAGCAGAGGTTTTTTCCATAGAAGAAATGACCTGATTCTCAAAATCCATTTTTTTTACAGGACCGGGACATTTCTTCTGTGGAAAATCCCCAAAATACCCGCAGGGTTATATTTGTCCTAAAAAATACCACGGGAATAGGTTTTTCTGCGGGAATAGATTTTTCTGTGGGAAAAATTATTTCTTCTGTGAAAAACCCCCAAAAGATCCGTGGGGTTATGTTTTTCCTAAAAAAATTCAATGCCACGGGAATAGGTTTTTCTGTGGGAAAAATGAAATTTAAATTTCCCCCCAAGAACTCACTGGTTTCGGGCCCTGATAGGCCGAGGTTTGAGTGCTGAAATCTGGAGTTCTCTGTTGTTGTTGTTGCTGCTGCACATTGTTGTAGAAAGGTTGGGGGTGCGACTGAGTGTTGGCTGTTGGTGTTGGGCCTTGCTGTTGCGGTGTTTGACCACGCTGGGTGCGCCATGGTACTGTCTGGGCCTGGGGTTGGCCGGGCGAAGGACCAGCCGACAGAGGTGTGCTTGTCGTTTGCTGGGCCAATGGTGATATGGCCACGGGAGCCCTTTGCTGTTGCTGCTGTTGTTGGGCCAACCTAAACGGACTCTCGGTAACACGGGGCGGTGTGGCGTTCTCAACGGAACGAGGACTATCGGTTTGACGATTGAAAAGATTGACAGCGGCCGGTTGTGGTGATGCCGTTGCCGCACTACGAAATTCGGGTTTGGGTGAAGGTTGACGTTGTTGTTGCTGTACATCTGTCTGTATTTGTATGGGTGTCACAGATTTCGGGGGACTGGTCAAAGCCGAAGCGGCTGGTGGAGTACCAGTCTCACGTTCAATCTGCTTCAACACTGAGGGTGAGGACAGTTTTTGATGCGGTGATGTGGGTGGAGTGGGTCGATGGGTGGATGAAAGGGATTGAGTGTCGGGACTTGAGTTTTGTGGAGATTTTTGTTGAGGTTTTTCCGATTCTTGACTTGGTTTATGGGGAGATGTGGGCGTCTTAAGTGGTTCCTGTTGTTGTTGTTGATCTTGAGTATTCGTTGGATAGTTGTTCGTTTGCTGATTGGCTTGTAGTTTATTCGTAGTCGTAGTGGGCATCGTTTTTCTAAAACCTAGGGCACAAGAAAGATGGGAAATAAATGGAAACGATTAGATTTGAAAATTGAAGTTGGGCGTTTCATAGGAAAAGCAGGGGTGTTAATTATTGAGATTTGAAGTTAGTAGGGCTCAAAACAGTTTCTATGTGTGGGGTATGTTTGGGGGGTAGTACTTATTCCTAAAGGTCAAAATATACGATGTAATGATGAGTAAGTTTGAGTTTTGAGGATTTTTCGTAGTAAATGCACCATCACCAGTTAATAAATCGCCGAAATTATGATGAGTTTTTGAGCATTTGAGTTATAAAAAAATAGAATGATGATAATTTTTATTTGAAGGCTTATATAAGGTTGATGAGGAGTAGCTGAAATTAAAGCTTAAACATAAATTAAAGGAAAAAAATTATAAAAATAAAAATATAATTTTTAAAGGAGAACATCTCACTAAGTGGTCTTTATAAGGGAAATATTTACTCCAAAGAAAAAAATCCTCAGATGATGGGGATACTTTTTTTTCTCAATCAATCTTCAGAAGCTGAGCATTTTTTCTATACGAAACAAAATCGATCCTCAGAAGCTAAGGATTTTTTTCCATAGAAAAAAAAAAACGATCCTCAGAAGCTGTCTATTTTTTTCGATCCTCAGAGGCTGAGGATTTTTTTCTATAGACATAAAAACGATCCTCCGTAAAAATAATCGATCCACAGTTACTGATTTTTTATAGAAAAAATCGATCTTCAATAGCTGAGGAATTTTTTTCTATAGAAAAAATCGATTCTCAATAGCTGAGGATTTTTGTCTATAGAAAAATTCGATCCTCAGTAGCTAAGTATTTTTTTCTATAGAAAAAATCGATCCTCAGTAACTGAATATTTTTTCTATAGAGAAAAATCGATCCTCAGTAGCTGAGGATTTTTTTTCTATAGAAAAAAATCGATCCTCAGTAGCTGAGGATTTTTTTTCTATAGAAAAAAATCGATCCTCAGTAGCTGAGGATTTTTTTTCTATAGAAAAAAATCGATCCTCAGTAGCTGAGGATTTTTTTTCTATAGAAAAAAATCGATCCTCAGTAGCTGAGGATTTTTTTCTATTGAAAAAAATCGATCCTCTGTAGCTGAGGATTTTTTTCTATAGAAAAAACTCGATCTCCAGTAGCTGAGGATTTTTTTCTATAGAAAAAACTCGATCTCCAGTAGTTGAGGATTTTTTTCTATAGAAAAAACTCGATCCCCAGTAGTTGAGGATTTTTTTCTATAGAAAAACATCGATCTTCAGTTACTGAGGATTTTTTTTCTATAAAAAAAATCGATCCTCAGTTGCTGAGGATTTTTTTTATAGAAAAAAATTGATCCTCAGTTGCTGAGGATTTTTTTTATAGAAAAAAAAAAATCGATCCTCAGTTGCTGAGGATTTTTTTTTCTATAGAAAAAAATCGATCCTCAGTTGCTGAGGATTTTTTTTCTATAGAAAAAAATCGATCCTCAGTTGCTGAGGATTTTTTTTGCTATAGAAAAAAATCGATCCTCAGTTGCTGAGGATTTTTTTTGCTATAGAAAAAAATCGATCCTCAGTTGCTGAGGATTTTTTTTTGCTATAGAAAAAAAATCGATCCTCAGTTGCTGAGGATTTTTTTGCTATAGAAAAAAATCGATCCTCAGTTGCTGAGGATTTTTTTGCTATAGAAAAAAATCGATCCTCAGTTGCTGAGGATTTTTTCTACAGAAAAAAATCGATCCTCAGTTGCTGAGGATTTTTTCTACAGAAGAAAATCGATCCTCATTTGCTGTGGATTTTTTTCTGTAGAAAAAAAATCGAACCACTTTAGCTGAGGATTTTTTTCTGTAGAAAAAAAATCGAACTACTTTAGCTGAGGATTTTTTTCTGTAAAAAAAAAAATCGAACCTTTTTAGCTGAGGATTTTTTTCTGTAGAAATATTTTCTAAAGAAAAAGATTCAATCCTCAGTATCTGAGAATAGATCCTCAGTATCTGAGAATAGATCCTCAGTATCTGAGAATCGATCCTCGGTTATAGGTCTTCTGAATCACCTAATATATTTTTTAATATTTTTTCTTATATGGGATTAGTTTTTAAGCAGAGACAACAACCATAACCTTTTTAAAATTAAAAATTAAAGCATTTTTAGGTTAACGAAGTCTTATTTTCCCTCTCTTTTTTGGCTCATATCTTTTGCATTGCTTGGCTTTCTTTCTTTTCCCCCTATTCGCTCTCACCATCAATAGTATCGCTGTTGTTCGTTTCACCATTTGTTGTTGCTGTTGTCAATTGGTCACTACCATTTGTCGTTTGCTGCGATGGTGTGGTGCTACTAGAACCGTTAACGCTGTCGTTGTCTTCTGTATAGGCACTGTTGGCCGGAGCCGAAGCTGGAGCTGGAGCCGGGGCATCCGAACCACCCTTGTTCTTCAGGTACTCATCCTTCCAGAAGGTGTTCTTCTCAACCGGTGGTGGAACTTTACGCAAAGCCGCCATCGGATTTGGAGGAATTTTAATCTCAGGACGAAAACCTAGCGGTGGTGGTTCGAAGCGTTGCGATGGCGGTGCTGGTGGTATCTTACGCTGCATGTTCGGTGAATTGGGGGCACTACCACGTCCGCCATTGACACCGCCACCATTCATGTGGGGCGCCAATGTCGCCGCTGCTGCTGTTGTGTTCGACATATTGGAAAAGGATGTTGGTGGTGGTGGTGGGGGAGGTGCTGGGCCACAGCCACCATTTGTATTCTTACCGGCAACCGGTTGTGGTGTTGGTGGTAATACTTGGAATGGCATACCCATGCCAGCTGCTCCGATCACGGCCGCCGCCGAGCCTGGCGAACTGGGCGATGTGGGCTGTTGAACGGCACCGCCCGGGCGATTCTGTTGTGATTGACCGGCAGCGCCCTCGGCACAGGCATTGCGAGCCAAACGCTTGGCCATGCGTTCCGATTTGATTTGTGAGAGATCAATGCCGCCAGGTGTGTAGGTGAAGGGTTTCTTGTCCCTGGTCATGGCGTTTTGGACGCATGCCGGTGCTTCGTAGTTCGACTGGGCGGGCATACGTTGACCAGAACCATACCTGGAAGGGGGAAAAGAGAAATTAAATAAATAAATTAATAATATTTTGGGGAAATGGGAAGGGAATATAAAAAGAAAGAAAAATATCTCAGAACCTCATAGGGGCTGAGAATTTTAACATTTTCATGCACAAAAGAAAAAAAGTATGGACTTCAAGAAAGATTTTCAAAGAGCCCTTAGAGGACTGTTTTTACAAAAGAACTCTCGTTTCTGAAAGAAACCTTTGATTTTTATATTTGGAAGGATTTTTTTGAACGAATTTTTGAAACAAAAACCCGGAATTTTTAACAATTTTTCGGAAGGATCTTAAATTGATTTTTTAAAGAAATTTTTGGATAGTACCTTCAGGGCAACAAACGTAATTTTTAAGAAATTTTTGGGAGAAACCTTCACATACCCAAGCAAATGTTTCGTATTTTTTTTTTTTTTTGGAAAGGACCTTTAGCGCAACAAACTTTTTTTCTAATTTTTTTTCAGAAAGACCTTCAGGCAAAAAGTGCGATTTTGAAAGGATTTTTAGAGAGCCCGGAAGGTGCTCTCTTGTAACCGATTTGGAAAAAGTGTTAAAGGATTTTTTCAGATTTTTTGCAAAGACTCTCAAAGGGTCTTTCCAATGTTTTTTGTTTAGGGATAGATAGAGTTTTTTAAGGATTTTTGTTTTTTTTTTTTAGAGTTTATATTAAGGACAATAGAAGGATTTTTGAATGATTTTTTGGAAGGATTGCTAAGGGTTGTTTTAAGATTTCTTTGCAAGATCTATCGAAGAATTGTTCAATGATTTTTGGGAGAATTTTAAAAATATTTTTTTTTAAGAAATATATTGTAAGGATTGTCAAAGAACTTTTTTCCATAGAAGAAGGATTTTTGAATGATTTTTTGGAAGGATTGCTAAGGGTTGTTTTAAGATTTCTTTGCAAGATCTATCGAAGAATTGTTCAATGATTTTTGGAAGAATTTTAAAAATATTTTTTTAAGAAATATTTTGTAAGGATTGTCAAAGGACTTTTTTCCATTTTTTTTGCAAGGACCATCAAAGTATTTTACTTGGAAGAATTGTCAATGGATTTTATTTTTTTTTTTTTTTTGCAAGGACTACCATAATATTTTTCAACATTTTGGGGTTAAAACCTTACATTCTTTGAGTTTATGGAAAAATCTCCAACAATGCATCAGTTTAGAAAGATGACATCAAAGACAAAAATATTCTTCATCGAATTTCACTATAGGCAATCAAAGAGAAGAAATCTCTATTTCCACTGCATATTAAAAAAAATATTTGCATCAATGTTTGAAACAAAGGGAAAAAATTCCTAATTTTTTGATAATTTTTCTACCTGACTTTTTTCGAGTTAATGCCTGAAAGTAACATAACATTTTGTTCTACTTGGTAGGTGTCAAAGGAAGAAATATTCTACACAAAATCTCAGAATAAACCATATACCTAGGTACAATAATTTTTATGGAAATCACAGCCGAAATTTATGTACTTAAAGTGAAAATTTGTCATTACTTGTTTTTTCTGTTAATATGAAATGTTTTCATTCCAAGTCAAAATCTTCCATTATACTACATTTCTTGGGAAAAGTGTCAAAGGGGGAATTATTATAGATCATATTTCACTGTGCGTCTCTGAACAAAAGAAATTTGTATAATTAATATTTTAAATGAATAAAATTTAATCAAATTTTATTAATAAAAACGATGATTTAGGATTGAATTCGTACTTTGCGTAAGTTTATGACAAACTAACCAACAAAGCATAATTTTTGGAGGATGACGTCAAAGACAAAAATGTTCCTTATCAAATTTCACTAAATAGCTCTAAAGAAAAGAAATCTGTAATTCCACTATATATCAGAAAAATGTTTGCCTCAATGTTTCAAAAAAAAAAAAAAAAACAGAAAATTATTTTTTTTTTTGAAAAATTTTCCTCGGACTTTTTTCGATTTGTTGCTTAAAAATAACATAAAATTTCGTTTTAGGTGGAAGATGTCAAAGGTAGAAATATTCTACACAAAATTTCACTATAAATCTCAGAATAAACCATATGGCTAGGTAAATTAGTTTCTATGGAAATTACATTCAAAAATTATGTACAAAAAGTAAAAATGATGGGTTTGCTTTTTTGTACTGTTAATTTAACACGTTTCTAATCTGAGTCAATATCTTCCTTTAGACTTCATTTTCTGGGGAAAATGTCAAAGGGGGAATTATTCTAGATCAAATTTCATTGTGAGTCTCTGAACAGAAGAAATTTGTGTTCTTAATATGTACCATAAAAAATAGGGTAAACTTCACAGTTCAATAGCCAGTCTGGGTTTGTAGTTCAAAACTCCAAGAGAGTTTCAATTTTTGGTTCTTTGGATTTTTAGCAAAAAAAACACACTTTTTCGACAAAAATAAAATATGTTTAAAAACTTTTTCGAAAAAATACTGTTCATTTTCAAAATTGTCTTGGTGACCTGTTCGTCAAACATACTCCAATGAGTGTTCTTTTTTTGATACCGTTTCGTTTGTCATTCAAAATGTTGCAAGAAACCTGTCAAAAATCATGTCAAAGCAGTTGATCTACATGTAAATGTGGTAAGAAGAAACCTTAGAGCAACCATGCCAACAAATAATGTTCCCCGAAAATATTATCTCACCAGACCACCACCACCGAACTTGTTTGACAAACCAACCAATGAACGAGACAAGGCTTGAGACGCATCGTTGCTGTTGCTACTGTTTTGTCGGTCGCTTGGCATTTTATTGGCAACAAATTAACTGTCAACAACTTGTTACACATTATTTGTAAATGGAAAACAACAACAACAACTAAACCTCTCCTTAATAAGTGACTGATCCACCTCCTCCCCGCCTAAGGGAGGGCTAATGCCTAGCCCAGCTAACCGGTAACATCATTTCATGATTTGATGGTGAATTCTCGGAATACGTAAACCGCAAATTCACTTTGCCCCAGTAAACAGACGGGTATTTCAACATAGACGCTGCTGCTTGACGATCTGTCACCGCACTTTGTCATTCCCCTAACCCCCTACCTCTCTCTCCCTCTCTGTGGTGTAGACAACAAACGGGGTGATATTCTGAAATTGCGTCACCACAAATTGACATTGCGGTCTGTTTGACTGGTTGGTGCTGCTGGTGGGTGCTCTAATTTGTATGCATTGACTAACGGATGAATTAGTGTGACAAGACAACTAAGCAGAATGACAACAACATCAACAACAGAAAAATGTGGGTGTGATTACTTGCCATAGGGCACCTGAGAAGTACAAAGGTGAAATTCTAATTTTATCCGCCAGACAAACAGCCCTCAACTAATGGCATGGTTTGCTTCAGCCCCATATCAATTTCAACTGCACATTTGAGGAGCAATCCTCCCTCCCTTCCCCTACCGAAAACCCTTTGCCAAAGTGGACCACTTTCGAAAACAATTTTTTTTGACACAAAACATTTGTCCCCAAACCGAATCATGTCTGGCAAACACATGTTCGAAATATTTTGCCAAAATTCTGTCAAAACTATAATTTTTGGGTTTCTATTACCCCCACCCCCCCACATACACACACACACAACACACGTCGTCTTCTAAGTGCATTTATTTATCTTCACCGATGTTCGATGTCGAATGTCTAGATAGATAATTGCAAACAAGTATGGACCACTTGTTGGCAATTATGATGGGTCCCCCCACATGCCAACATAAACAGACCATTAAGAGTGACGTCAATTCGGGGCGGTTAGGATTCCAACAAACACGAGCGGATATTTTAGAAGAGTTTTTCTTTTTTTTTTCAATAAAAAATATAAGCCATAGAAATATTATGAATATATATTGGATTTTAATAGCCCTTCAAAAAACAAAAAAAAAAAAAATAAATAAAAAAAAAAAAATAAATAAATTAATTAATTTTCCTCAATCAAAAATTAAAAAAAAAACTACTTTGATAGTCCTTCCAAAGAATATTGTGTAGAATATTTCTTCTTTTGACACATTCTGCCTGAAATGAAATTGTATACTACTTTCAAGTCTCAAATCGAAAAAAGTCACAGGAAAAATTTATAAAAAAAAAGAAATATTTTCTTTTTTTTTTTGTGGAAATATTGAGGCAATTTATTTTGATATGTAGTGGAAAAAGAATTTCTTTTCTTTGGTGATTAATGATAAAATTTCATGAAGAATATTTTTTGTCTTTGACTTCATCCTTCTAAAATGATGATTTGTGGGATATTAATAAAGATTGATGATATTTTTTCATGCCATATATTGAATATAGAAATTTCTTTTGTTAAGAGACTCATAATGAAATTTGATCTAGAATAATTCTTAATTTGACACTTTTCCCAAAAAAATTATGTATTACGGGAGATTTTGGTATGTATTGGAAACGTCTGAATTAACATTAAAAAAAGTAAAAACATAATTTTTATTTTTAGTACACACATTTCGATTGTAATTTTCATAAAGACTATTGTAACTAGATATATGGTTTATTTTGAGACTTAGGGTGAAATTTTGTGTAGAATATTTCCCATTTTGATACTTTCTGCCTAAAACGAACTTTTACACTACTTTCAGGTATAAACACGAAAAAAGTCCGAAAAATTTTATCAAAAAAATTAGGAAATATTTTTGGTTCTTTTTTTTGGGATCATTGTGCAAATATTTCTAATATATGCAATGGAAATAGAGATTTTTTTTCTTCGGTGACTTTTGGTGAAATTTGATGAGGAATATTTTTGTCTCTGACGTCATTCTTCTAAAGTGATGCCTTGTTGGAGATTTTTGCATAAACTCAATATGGCTTTAAAACTAAAATGTTTTTTTAATATAAATGAATTCTTGGCGTTGAGATAAGATATAGGCTTTTGATGACTTCAACGACCTGTAGTAGAATTCCATGACAAATAATTTTATAGAATATTTTGAGTTGCTACTATCTCGTTTAAAGAGGAGTTTTAACCATATTTTCAAAAAAGGGCCGAAAATACCCATTT